CTGATCGGTAACGTCCCATGTTTAATTCTGCTTCCTTATCTATTACGATAAAACTATTAATGCCTATCTGCCAAATTTTATTGCACAATTCTTTAAAATGTTCAAAGGTCATATCTGGTATCACGTGGTCATTAAAAATATGTCGTAAGTTGCGATCATCTTGTTTAAAAGCTACTATTAAATTTGCATTATCGCGAACTAACTGTTTCGGGATATAACTGTAAGTTTGACATATATAAAATGTATCAATATACTTGTGTCTGCCCATGGAAAAATAATTTTTAATGTTTTCTTGTTTACCACAGGCAATATCATCAAATATCATGATGGAGTTTGGTTTGACATCACTTGGATGTGGCACATCATCGTTATCAGAATATGATTTGTATTCAATTTCAGGAATTTTACTTAAGATACATGACAAAAACTCATATTTAGGTTGATATAAAGATTTTGAATACACATACACATTTTCAAATAGTAACCCTTGAGGGGAAAATATAAGGTTTAAAACTAAGTTTGTTTTACCACAGTTTGATGGTCCACAAACAATACATCTTATTGCATTAGGTAACAACTGTCCATGACGACGTTTAAGATTCTTACTAGTTTTATATAACATTATATCCAAATTGACAATTGGCAAACTTTTCTTTTGTTTGATGAATCTCATTTTACCAAATCACTTTTATTAATCCAACTATCATATGTTTTATCAAACCCCAACCAACGAACTAAAACCTTGTCTTTACTTGATCTAACTACTTTTTCTATTAAATATGTGTCACCGCACTTAGTCGTTCTCAACTCTTGCTCATAAAATCCACCTTTGACAACTTCACCTCTATCGTCTTTTAAAATATATGTTACTGGCTCGGTAAACTGAACTTTATATACGGTGAAAATCTCATTACTCCAACGCGGCCAGTAACCCTTTGAAAATTCGTTCTGCTTTCTGCTTATCCTCACTCGATCACCAACCCTGAATGTTTGTTTCAAATGATATTTTTTACGGCTCTTAATTATGTTTTCCATTACATAACTTTCATTTTGACTGTTAACATCAATTGGTTTAACTCCTATAGTGCGATGAACTGTATTGTTATACTTTAAAACCAACTTTGAGAGATTACTAAGCCAATGGTAAGTCCCTTGCTCACTAAACATAATCCACATTTTACTCTTTAGTGTTCGATTGAACCTTTCAACAATTGATGCTTTTTTATCAGAAAATGTGTAATAATGATTGATATTATACTTTTTCATTAAAGATTTAACATTTGAATTGAAAAACTCAGTTCCTTGATCAGTTTGGAAATGTTTCATTGGATTAGAGTCTAGTATTGGCATAAGAGCTTTAACCATTTCAGGTCCACTCTTGGTTTTCAGTGGGATTGCAAAAGCAAATTTTGTGAAACAGTTGATAACTGTTAAAATATACTTAAATCCTTTATTGTATTTTGAAAATTTCAACATGTCCACTAAGTCCGCTTGATACAAATCATGCATACCTTTTAATACAACATTACGTCTTGGATAATTTTTACGTGCCTGTTTATGCAACTCTTTTGCTATACAAGATCTAATTGATGCTGCCATCTTAAAGACTAGGTCAGAGTGATGATAAAAAAGACAGTAGAATTGGTTTTATACAATTTATTATCATACTTAAATCAGTGTACAAATTTACAATGAGGTGAAGCCTTCTTGTGTTCCGCCGCAGGTATATCATCGAGATTCCAATGATCTAAGACGACACCACAGTTGATACATGAAACAGAATCTTCCACTCCTGTGTAGTAGAATCCAGTTTTTACCATATCTTCAATATTTGGATATAGCTTTGGCCATATAATAAAAGTTTCTCTCATCATGCTTTCAGTATTTTCAATAGATTTTTTATAATTTAAGTAATTAGTATAGTCTCCTTCAATATATTCACTCATTTTACAGTTAGGGTTCGATACTTTATGAAGAAAGTTCAAGTGTCTAAGTGATAATTTTTCACTATCCGACTGCCAACCACAACCACAGCATATTACTTGTTCATAGCATTTTGTTCTATAAAAACCCGATTTTACAAGATCTTCTTCTCGTGCATTAAAAATATTTGAACCAAAGTCAGTATTGAAGGAAGATTCCCAAGGCGATGGAAGTGAAACAGATGAAGTTGACGAGGAGGGTGATGACAGTGTAATAGATGTAAATGAAGACGAGTCCATTGATGTTATCCAAACAGCCTCACTATGACAAATGAAGGAGAGTTGGATAACACAATAATATTAGCTTATCAATCCACATTAGACTTTAGACTTTTGATAAAATGTAATTACACAATGAGGACAGTGTTTTCTTTTTGGATTGGGTCCATCAAACATATCACCATTCGATGTACCGTTGTAGTGATCTGTGCATCTCATGTTTAATAATATGCTGACATCATTCTTTAACATTCCTGGAAGTCTGTCAAAAATATTTTCAATATCTTCATAGTGCGATATTAAGAACTCTTTAGGGAGGTATTTAACTAGTTCTGAGCTCAAGCCATTGTACCCTTTTCTGTAACACTCCACAATAGCCATATTGACCATTTTGAGCCTTTCATTAATAAGTTTTTCCATTTTCCACCACTGAAGTAGAACATAAACATTTATATAAGCACACTTTAATGGATTGTGAATAAAATTGCATGGTTTTATCATTTGAGAGTGATAAAAGTTCGACTTAAGATCCTGTAGGTTTGGACATCCTAGATCTTCAAGGTTGACCACATTTACACCATCACTTGGTAAAAGTTTAGTAACTACTTTTTGTTTTTCTTTTCCTTTCACATATACATTACCCTGTATTTGAACACTTGCTAACACATCCTTAAGTTGGTCATACTCCCGAAATCCCGAACCCCAAAAAAGTCCATGGTGTCGTTTTTCAAGCCACATCACTTGTTTTTGCACATGGTTTGGTAAAGTAACAAAATTACAAGGTGGTTTGAATAAATGCAGTTCATAAATCTGACAATCAGTGGAAATAAGAGCTAGCTCCTTTACAATGAACTCTTCTCCATCACCCTTATATCCCTGAATATCAAGTAAATAATCCATCTCCGCAAAAGAGTGCACTCGTCGCTGACTAGATGATGAATGAGTAAAATTCAGTAGGGTTACTAATGACAACTAATGATTATATCAACAATTTTTTTGTCAATTTATCACAATTTACAAAGATGGCTGGTGATTAAATCTTCTGTAAAACTCTTGATCCACATCACTGATTGATTTTTTAAATTATGTCCACTTGTCAACATCTAGCGAAACGCTTTCTCTCCCATTTGGTGTGTATACACTAATGATTATTTTTGTTTCCAATTGGTCATTTTTGAATTGAATTTTCATATCATTTGTTATAATAAATTCTTCGTGAAATTCCATATTTACTGCTATAGACATTTCCACACAGTCGGATATCAAAGTATACTGAAACCATACAAACTTGAAACATGGCTTTTATACCAAGAATTCTGTCTAGCCAAACAAAATCCTCAATTGGTTTTCAACTATATCACTCTGGCTGTTAGTCACTTTTGAAACTTGGATTGGACGATTAACAACGTTTGGGCTAACATCGCTAGATTGAGCTTTGTACCACCTGTCATCTCCAGTCGTCCAAGTAGATGATGACACGAACCCACTCTGTTCACGATTCCTATCTCCAGCCATGCGTTCATAATTGCGTTGATGTGGTCTGGAAAAATCCAAAGTAAGGTTGGCTCTGTTGGCATTTGAAGAGCCAAGAGATGAATTTGACCGTTCTTGATTAGGTCCAGACATTGTACTAGATCGATGGACACACTAAGACTGAATTCATTAGGTTGGCTATATGACATAAAATACAAGGCAGTCTGTAGAAGTCATGCTGGCTCAGTGGTAACGTCTTAGCTTTGTAAATAGCGAGTGTTAGGGAAACTAAAAAAATCCCATTGAGGCGGCATGACTTCTTTTTGCCACACTTTTAAAACACTAATTATGAAAATCTAGTATTTCATCTAGTTCACTGTTTTACCAACAGATAGAGCGCGAATAGCTGTTAGCACACATCGACAGACTTGATCACGCGCGCAAAAGGAGATAAAGAAGTGTAAACAACAATGGCGGACGATGTAAACAGACGCGGCGACCCGCGGGTCGGGGAATACCCGATAACGGATAACGCCGGAATGCGATATCTTTTATCTAATTGTTTTTTAGTTGGGGTCAATTGGGGTTAAACGTTTGATTGGCGCTATCGGCTGATTACTGGAGGTCAGGGGTCAAGGATTGTAAACAATAAACAAGGTATTGCTTTGCGGGGGGCAACACCTGTTGCCCCAAATGCACCCTCCCTATACTACTTATGACACAAAAACAAACAGAAAGTAGATAAAAGAAACGTCTTATAACACTAAAAACATATATTTACGCCTATAATATAAATATATGTTTCAAGTGTTATAAGAAGTCTCTTTTATTTACTTTCCGTACATTTAATAACACGTCAAATGCTGATCAAGAAGTTATTTACAAAAACAAACTCAACAAAGTTTAATCTAGCCTGCTGGTGGCATTAATATCTAACCTCTTCACCTTTCTTTATTTTACCCTTGTTCATACATATCCACTTTAAACTTGCTTAAGAAAAAAAAGTATATACTTTGACACACTGTACCTAGTGACATCAAAGTTAGCACTATATTTTCATAATGATTTTTAGAACTTACACTTTGGTATTTTTCAGCATTTGCATTAACGCTACAGATACAGTTTTATTCAGGTCAGTTTCAGTAAGGATGATAAATTCCTGGATATAGGACTTTAAACGTTCACTAAGGGTTTCACGTTACCTACTAGTTTTTACCTTAAAAGTAACTTTCATTCGATTACCTACTAAATATAGTTTACTTAGCTGTATGCATAATCAGTAAGCAAAGTTTAACTGTGCCCAAATTATATGTTTTGTTTTTTCAGCACCGATTTGTGTTCATCACTGAAAGTATGGGCGTGGAACTGGGTCTCGCGTCTGATTCCCTCTGTCACCGACGAGTTTGTGAGGAATGTGTTCTCGGTCTGCTTGCTGGGTCTCAAGAAGGATCTGCAGTCATTGTTGTTCTTCCTTCCGTACATAGTTTGTGAGTTAATTTAATGGGTAGAAGAATTGTTTTATAACTAAAAGATAAAAACACTGTGTGCTATCGTGATCTTTTACTAGCACAGCAATGTTTAATTTAAGGTGACTTGTTTTTTCTATCTCCCATTTGCATAGAATATGAAACTTCTCTGGGCTTTAACTCACCACATCAGAACTGTTCAGAGGATTCTACCTCTGATGCACAATCCCTGCTTTGATTTGCCTTAGCTGAGCCATAACATAACATTCTTCCTTATTGGCCAAACAACAGCCCTAGTAGACGGATGTCAACATTTTTAGGACCAGAGTTCTTTCCTAGAGTGCTCTGTTCTATAATTTGTTGACTTGTTGTGAGTATTTAGAGTTATTCACCCAGCTGGTGTGTTGCAGTGCATGCTATACTGGGAGCCACAAAGTCTGAAAGTCGTCGTATCGGAGAGGAGATCTGCGCTGTGTTGTTCCACCGCGGGGAGGAAGACCAGCCAACACCTGAAACTTGTCGCAGCATCCCCTCCACCGGATCCCTGCAGAGCACTAAGGTCAGTGACTAAAAATAATGAAAAAAGCAAATTTTCTCAAAAATGGCCTGAACCATTTCCATTAAAATTTAGCATGTAATGTCGTTTAAATTCTTGTAAAAACTGTACAACCCCTATTGCTGTAAAGATTATGGCCCAAAGGTTGTTGTGACTTATGTTATTTTCCCATGTAAAACACATAAAGTTAAAAAAAATCAATTAAAGAAACCAATTTTGATTAAAATAAGTATGTTATGGTCCTTCTAATTATTCTAAACAAAATAAAGCAACCCCCATTGCTTTAAAAATTACAGTTCAAAAGTTATTGCAACTTTTATGATTTTCCCTATTAAATATCATGGTTACTCCCACTCAAGATAAAAATTTTTGACAAGCTAATGACAGAAGTTTGTCACATTGCTGATACCGTTCATTACAAGTCTGATGATCAAGTACGACTGGGTCAGTTTCAAACTATCGAAAAAAGAACTTTTCCCCTGATTGAACAAAGCAGGATAACCACACATCTTCATGATTTTATGAAATGCCTCTTGTCTTGCGTAGTGGACACAAGATGGCAGTCACACTCACGCTCTGTGTGCCAAGACAGTCTACCAACTGTTGGACTTCCTCTACCACTGGCTGAGACAGACGAAACAGCAGATAAACCCCAGTGAGGAGTCAACTCTAGCAGACCAGTACCACAAACTCAGGGGTGAGTTATACAGCAACCCTAGACATTCATTTTCTGTGAAATATTCTCCTTATAGTATCTGTGGGTGAGTACCAAGTATGTTTGTAGGCCCAGTTTCAACTTTATGTAAACCTTTTCTTTTGCCAATAATGTTGAAATTGGTTGAGGAGTTTTAGTTACAAAGAATGCTCACGATACCATCCAAGTGTTCCAAGTGTTAATGCACCAAAAGAATACATTTATTTTGCAAAGAAGTTTTTTTTTCATAAAACTTTTGGCTTAGGAGTAAATTAAGATTGGAGGAATGTATACAAAACTACCTTACCAAAGAAAGTGATCCAGGCAGTTAAGCACACAAAATGTTAACAACATATAGAATAGTAGTAGTATAAAATCATATTACGCCCCCTTGTAGTGACAAAATATCATTTTAATTGTGTTGTGAAGTTTTCGTGTGCTTCAACTGCCTTTAACTCCTTTTCTGGAGTAAGTAGTTTTGTATCCATTGCTTCTTATTTTATGTAATAATATTTCAAACAGAAACCATAGCTAGAGTGAAGGCTTTTCCTTTTGGTTTGATTTAGGGATGGACGAGATTGGATTTTTAGTTCGAGATGAGACGAGACGAGATTTTTTATTTCTCATAAAATTTCGAGACGGGATTTCCCTTCTCATACACAACGGGAAATGCACGTTCAAAATTTTTACCTGATTTTGTAACATTGTTAGATGACTGTTTAAATAAAAAAATAATGATAATAGGCAAAAATATTTACAATCTTTTATTAAAAAACATCAGCATAACATTTTTTTATTAATCACTCCTAACTTATTAAAAATGCCTACGATTAGGAAACATAGTGATATCAGTTAGGATAGAGTTCAACTTATCCTAAAATAAAATAAATCATAAAATAAAAGCAATATTAATTTTTATAAAATAGTTACTTGTTTTTACTTTTTATAGTAATAAAACATTCCTCACACTGCTTACACTTAACAAAACTTTTCAAATGTTATTAAAGTAATATTATTAAAATAATTAAAGTAGGGATGGACGAGATTGGATTTTTAGTTCGAGACGAGACGAGACGAGATTTTTTATTTCTCATAAAATTTCGAGACGAGATCGAGACGAGATTTCTCTTCTCATACACAACGGGAAATGCACGTTCGAAATTTTTACCTGATTTTGTAACATTGTTAGATGACTGTTTAAATACTAAAATAATGATAATAGGCAAGAATATTTACAATCTTTTATTAAATAACATCAGCATAACATTTTTTTATTAATCACGCCTAACTTATTAAAAATGCCTACGATTAGGAAACATGGTGATATCAGTTAGGATGGATTTCAACTTATCCTAAAATAAAATAAATCATAAAATAAAAGCAATATTAATTTTTATAAAATAGTTACTTGTTTTGACTTTTTTATAGTAATAAAACATTCCTCACACTGCTTACACTTAACAAAACTTCTCAAATGTTATTAAAGTAATATTATTAAAATAATGAAAGTAGTATTTACATTAAAAGAATTAAAGTAATATTTACATTAAAAGAATTAATTAAATAAGAACGCCTTCGAAAAGGAAACGCAACTACAACACGCTCCTGTATTGCGGGTATTGCATTGACTTTCTGCAGGCGTTTTTAATTTTTTTTTTTTTTTTTTTTTTTTTTTTTATTCTCGTCTTGATAAAAATCTCGGCCAAAAAGTAATCTCGTCTCGTGTAACGAGATTGAAAATTTCCCGAAAATTTCCCGAAATTTCGAGACTTGACCATCCCTAAATTAAAGTAATATTTACATTTAAAGAATTAATTAAATAAGAACGCCTTCGCAGAGGAAACGCAACTACAACACACTTCTGTATTGTGGGTATTGCATTGACTTTCTGCAGGCGTTTTTATTTAATTTTTTTATTCTCGTCTCGATAAAAATCTCGGCAAAAAAAATCTCGTCTCGTGTAACGAGATTTAAAATTTCCCGAAATTTCGAGACTTGACTAGTTTGATTTGTGTCACACACAAACAACAATATAGCTTATGTTTACAGTAGATTAAACATTATTATTGGTGTTATCTTTAGCATATTTCACTAGTCAGTAATATTGATCCTATTAAGTGTGACGTTTTTTCATGATAGCTAGTGCTAACTTTATAAAGAGGGAAGATAAAAATCAATTGAAATTAATTTTATCTTTCAGAATTTTTGTCTACCTTTTCCAAAAAGGACATTGCAGATGGATCGTTCAGATGCAAGGAGTACACTCGAGCACTGCTGTTCCTTGAGGACTATATGAATGAGAACCCTGACTTGGTACAAAGTTATCTGCCTTATTTAGGGGTGAGTGTGATCACAAAATATCAATATTGAGCCAACAGTTTCAGTGCTTTAAATCATAAACTGGAAATGTTAACCCTTTTGAGTGCTGCTAGTAGGGGTGTGCGAGTATTTGAACATCGAGCTTTTTCGAGCCGAATAGGACGCTATTCGGCTCGGCTCGTGATTTTCAAAAAGTTCGAAATGTTCGAGCCGAATACTTATTGAACTAGCAAATAAAAATTAAATTAATAAATAAGGAACTAACTTTCATTTAAATTTACTCTCCTCCGTTTCATAATTGTGTCTTGATAAGCACGAACCTCAACTCAGTCAAGACGCAATGATTATCGATCGTAATTTTGATGAAACTACCACCTATCGCGTTGTCTTTCTAACACAACTATTCGTATCGTAATATACAACGCAGTGCGAGTGCGTGATTGGCTAAGTCGCTATGACGACACACGGTTGCCGTGGCAACCTACAGTGCGCACTGAGCACTGCGCCTTGTGTGGGAGGGGAGATTATACCAACAAACTATTTCAGGAATTCTATTTTGGGACGGATGAAAGATAAGGAAGAAACAAAAAGTGGTCACGTGTGCAAATGTAGTGGGCGAGACAATAAGGCTGTAAACGAGTATCGTCGTGTCGTTGTTCCTTGTTTGTTTACTTTTCAGATTCCTTATCAAACGCCCCTATCTGCTATCTCTCTTTCTCTCTCTCTCTCTCTCTCTCTCTCTAACAATGTACTGATTAAACAGATTGTGGTTGACGACTTTTCTACTTATAAGTTTCCCTGCGGTTATTTTAGTTCAATCAATCCCATAACCTTTCTAATGTTTATCAAAATAATTAATAAATATGTTTTGTATTTTATTTCCTTTAAACCAACCCCTATTTACCATCTGTATTTTATAGAATAAAATGTTTGTTTATAAAGTTTGACTGGCCACACAATTTTGTACCTATTTTATTTTGTATAAAGTAACAGTTACTTTGAGGATTATATATATATATATATAAATAAGTGGCGCGTGCTGTAATGAGTGCTTTTTATTATCAAAATAAGTAATGAGTTATTAATTTTTGATAGTACATGGGTCATTGAATACCATAATGTGATGTAGTTTCCTATTTGTATCTTGCAAATAATAATAATTGATAGTTAATTCTGGAAATGAAAAATAGTGATCTCATCCATAAACCTGTTGTCAAAACAGCAACGAGGGTGTAAGGGTTTATTGTTTCAGACGCAAGGGTGTTTCAAGGACAAAGTGTTGGGCCACCCGGATTGGGGGGGAGGGGGGCGGTGAGACTGTGTGAAGGGGAGGAAACTGGTTTTGGCTATTTATTGATTAGTTCGCCGACTCTTCTAGATAACAAAATTGAGTGACAGTGTTAAATCATCGTGTTCTGCATTTCATTTCTTGTTTACTTTGTGTGTTATTCTATTAATTCTAGTGCTTTGGTCTATTTCCTCTATGTCAATTATATATTTTTTAATATATAAGTAAAACTTGTCTCTCCACCTTTTTGGATCCAAACCAACCATGTTCTTTTTTGATTAATAGGATTCGTAAAACAAAAATATTTTGTGCATGGAAAACAACAAGAATAATCATGTGTTTTTAAATTTATTTTGTATTTATTTATACAAAATATAATTAAATATTCATAGTAGTTACAATATACATATGTAATCGACTTGCTAGTTGTTTTGTCGTCATTCAAGGTCACGTTGCTGTTCTGTTATGAAAGACAATCTGATTGTCTCAGTCTGCACTGCATATCTCTTCAGGCCTTCAATCGATATCCTTTTATTTCTTGCATCTTCATTTAGTTCAGTTCAGTTCTTATCGTGATTATCTACTACAGTGTTTCCCAACCTTTTTCCGTTCAGGGCACACTAACTAGAACAAGTTTGGAGTCACGGCACACTTGTATACAAAATATCATTAGTTAAAATTACATTTAGTAAGTGCATAAAAAACTTTTTTTTCAATTCCATCGTACTCCGTATAACCTATTTTTTACTAGTAAATATATATATGTATATAATATAAAGGTGGGTTTACCAAGGTAAAAAATATAAAACTCACATTTGTTATCCAACATATAAACATTATTTAGTGTTTATTAAGTGGAAAGTTTTAAATAATAATAAAACATTGAGCTTGATTAAAATGTTGTATGAATTTACCAATAATGAGTGAGAAATATTAAACAAACCCTGGTTTCAGTTCTAGTGGGAAACTTGTGCTTGACGTATGTTTATTAAAAGTTTCTTTCTTGATCAAAAATTGTTTAAGTACTTAAAATTTCGCGGCACACCTACAGTGGCCTACTGGCACACCAGTGTGCCGCGGCACACTGGTTGGGAAACACTGATCTACTATTTGATGTCTTGACAATTCTCAATGTTTTTAAACATATTAAAATAACATTGTGTTTATTTAAAAATTGACTGAACATTATTATTATTATGCACTTTTTTAAGAAAAAAAGTTTAATAATTAAGATAAGGTTACGCTAGGAAAAGCTCGGCTCGAAAAAGCTCGAGCTCGAACATTTTTTAAAAAGCTCGGCTCGGCTCGGCTCGAGGTTGAAAATCACTATTCGCACACCCCTAGCTGCTAGTGAGACGCACCATTGTCGTAGCTTGAGTGCCAGGCGTCTCGTAGCGAGACGCTCAGAAAATCACTTCATACATTATCACAATTCAAAAAAGCTGGCTGCAAACCACACCAAATGCGACAGAAGGAGGTTGGCTACAACTATTTTGCTCTTTTACTGTACAATTGAGCTGTGAAATGTGGTCAACCATTTAAAAACCGTTACGCAATAGTAGACTGCTTTACACAGCAGCTGGTTTGTCTTTTGTTATTTCGACTGTTTACGTTCTAGTAAATGTTTGTTTACGAGTTGTTTTGATTATTGAATTGCAGATTATGGTCAGGAATTGTTGAAAAATACATTTTAAACCTTTAAAAAGATATAATACCACAACTTATTTGCGTGTTTTGGTGATAGTTTGTGGCTAATCACATAAAGTGTACCGGTAACTGGACTTGGTAAGTCAGGCCTATTGGTGCAAGATTTTATTTTTACCGTTTGTATATTTTGTGCATGCTTCTAATAGTAATAAGACTAAAGCAGTATGGGTTGTGGTTAAAGCCGAACTTGGTTACAAGCCAATCAATAATTCTTTTCCTGATTTAGTTATTGATAGCAAGTTAGTCTCAGATGGCACAGTTATTGCAAGTCACTTTAATTCTAAATTTATTGAGGTAGGGAAGGATTTAGGGGTAAATTTTTCCAAGAGTAAGGCAATGGAACTAGTAAAAAAATCAATCACACATAGACCTGATATTCCAATTTTTAACTTTAGTTTAGTTACACCTCAGCAAGTTATCAAAATAGTCAAGTCACTAAGCGATAAAAAACGGCTGGTTGGGATGGGATTTCAACTACTATGATAAAAAAAGTAATCAAGATTGTTGCTGAGCCATTGTTCATAATCATCAATCAGACTTTAACCAATAGCACTTTCCCTAATCATTTGAAGTATGCAGAGGTGAAGCCATTATTTAAAAAAGGTTCTAAGAGTAATTCAGATAACTACCGACCTGTTTCTATCCTGCCTTCTTTTTCAAAGATATTTGAAAAAATTGCATTCAATCAAATGTCCTATTATCTGGAATCTAATAACTTATTAGCTGATGAACAGTTTGGTTTTAGGAAAAATCGAAGTACCACTTCCACTGTGGCTCATTTTGTAAATTCAATAACACAGAGCTTGGATGGGTCACAGAGCACTATTGGCGTGTTCTGTGATCTATCCAAAGCCTTTGATAGTGTACACCATCAAATTCTTCTTGATAAGTTATCCACCTATAGATTCTCAGAATCAGTTATTTTGTGGTTGAAATCATATTTAAGCAATCGCTTTCAAAGAACATTTATTATTAAAGAAATCATTAAGTATGCTTCTGAATGGGAAAAGATTGTTATGGGGGTGCCTCAGGGCTCTATATTAGGACCGTTATTGTTTTTGATGTACATAAATGATCTACCTAAGAATGTTAAACCTAGTTTGTTGTTATATGCTGACGATACGACAGCCATAATTAAATCAAAAAACAGTCATGAATTAAGTTTAGCCTTGAATCAAGCTCTTCATGATCTGTCAAAATGGTTTAAAGTTAACGGTTTGAAAATGAACCACATTAAAACACAAATAGTAAAATTTCAAACTGCACAGTGTAGGGACGATCTTGAAGGCTTTGTTTATTTTGATAATGAAAAAATAAATCTTAGCAACACAGCTAAATTTTAATGATGTAGATAGTTTATTGAATTGGAAGAATAACATTCATAACACCTCTAAAAAGTTAAATTCAGTTTGTTTTCAAATGATGGTCTTAAGAAATGTTGTTGATTTAAACACTAGACTAATGATTTATCACGCTTTATTTTCGTCAATTTTACAGTATGGAATAGAGTATGGTTTATAGTATGGTGCTTTGAGGCATCACCTCTGATTCGTATCAACTTTTTAAACTTCAAAAAAAGAATACTTAGAATTATGACTTTTAAGCCCGCAAAATATTCTTGCAAATAACTTTTTAAAGAACTAAAGATTCTAACCGTCCCTAATTTGTATATTCTTAAATGTTTATTGTATGTGAAATCAAATTTTGAAAAACTCCACAGTGAAAATAATCGGCACAATTATAACACTAGATTTCATACAGATTTTCAATATCCTATACACAGATTAAATCTAGTGGAAAGGACACCTTCTTATATGGGTTTTGTGAGTTTTAAAGGCAAAGTGAGTAACTGAATATTTTATTATACAGGGTGAATAAAAAGTCAAGACCCCCCCCCTCTAATATTTTTCCAAGTAAATATACAGATATATCCTTTTGATGGTTGAGCAATCTTAGCAGGAAGTTTCATTTTATCATTTTGAAATTTTTGAGTGTCCCCCAAAAGGGGGGATTTGGGGGGCAACTCAAATATTTTAAATGTAAACCCCCTTCAAGTGACACCTCATTTTGAAGTGTTTACAAAAACTTAAAGAATGGTGAAAATTAGAGGTCGCTATCTCTTCTCTATCCAAAATGGTAGCCCGTCAAATGTTGTGGAAAATCAATGGTAAAATTGTTAATATTGGCTGCCATTTTGGATAGAGAAGAAATAGCGAGCTCTGGTTTTCACCATTCTTTAAGTTTTTGTAAACACTTTAAAATGAGGTGTCACTTGATAGGGGTTTCTATTGAAACATTTTTAGTTGTCCCCCGAATCCCCCCTTTTGGGGGGAAACTCAAAAATTTTAAATGTAAACTCCCTTCAAGTGACACCTCATTTTGAAGTGTTTACAAAAACTTAAAGAATGGTGAAAACCAGAGCTCGCTATCTCTTCTCTATCCAAAATGGCAGCCAATAATAACAATTTTACCATTGATTTTCCACAACATTTGACGGGCTACCATATTGGATAGAGAAGAGATAGCGACCTCTAATTTTCACCATTCTTTAAGTTTTTGTAAACACTTCAAAATGAGGTGTCACTTGTAGGGGGTTTACATTTAAAATATTTGAGTTGCCCCCCAAATCCCCCCTTTTGGGGGGACACTCAAAAATTTCAAAATGATAAAATGAAACTTTCTGCTAAGATTGCTCGACCACCAAAAGGATATCTCTGTATATTTACTTGGAAAAATATTAGAGGGGGGGGGGTCTTGACTTTTTATTCACCCTGTATAAACCATGAAAGATCAAATTATTCTGTAGTAGGGTTTACAGTCCTTGTAAAGATAATTTTTCTTCATTTCCCTTCAAGGAATGCACTAAAGAAGTCCTATATTAGCAGAAGGGCAGGATGGGTAAGACTGCTATCAGTACAATTCTTAAACTCTTGGCCGTAGTGATATTAACACAATTCTTTATGAAATTAGTTTGATGAGTTATTGTTTACAGAAAATCTACTACCACCTCAACGACCCGGACAGTTTCAAAGGCATCATTGCCATTAGAGACGAAGAGCCAACCGCCCAAGAGATGATTCATTATCACAAGCTCACTGGCCAGTTGCAGGTTGGCTTGCAATCACTGTTTATGTTTATCAAGTTTTTTGTATAATGTAGAAGGATAAGTTTTGTAAACTTAAAGGAGATTTTACAGTTCTAATGTTAATGGGCTGGTTGACTATACACAATCTTCCTTATCTCTCTTGTCAAAAGCAAAATAGAGATGTTGGCAGAAAAAACCAACAATTCATCTTTTGAAAACTGATCTCCAAAAGTTTTGTTACTACTTCTCGTAAAATCAAATGTGCATAAATTACTCTTGATTTTCTATTAGTTTTTTAGGTACTTTCCTGTTAAAGGGAACATTCATTATTATGGATGATTTTCAATCGATATATCAATATTAACGAATTGAAACCTATCAGCTGACAACTACGATAAATAAATATTGTTCACTAAATAAAAAATATTGAAATGAAACCGTTCCAAACCAACCTAACAAAACTAACCAAACTTGCTGTAACATTTCAAAATTCCGTTTAATATTCCCCACATACCATTTCTGTAATCAAACGGAATTTTTAAAATAGTACAGCAAGTTTGGTTGGTTATGTTAGGTTAGCTTAGAACAGTTTAATCCATAATAAACTTGATTTTAACCTAAACAAGATAGTTTTCAATTTGTAATGGATCGTAACGGGAAAGAAAAATATCGATATATCGATTAAAAATCATTGATAATAATGAATGTTCCCTTTAACAGGAAAGTACGGTTTTTTACAAAGTACTTGGGACTTAACTGGGCTGAAAACAGTGCAAAAATCTGAGCAAGCTAAAAATCTAAGCTTTAGGGGAGCGAGCTGGTCTAGTGGTAGAAAGTTGGGGTCTTTGGTCCCCAAGGTTCTAAGTTCAAACCCCGCCAATCATCATGAATCTATCTGCATGATAATATCGCAAAACTCTTGGTCTTGCCTGAAGTAATTTGTAACAGTTTTAGGATGCTGATCCTAGCGTCCTAGGATGTGGTGTCATAAAAAATCATTACTTTGAACACCTCAGACAGACTTTTTTGGCTATACTCTATGCAATCCCAGGATGCTGCAGCTTGCTATGAGAGGTTGGTACAACTGCCAGACTCTGTGTCTAACGAAGACGAGGACTTCTACAAAGGCATGGTGCAGTGTTACCTCGGCATGGACCAGCCCTCTACTGCTCTACAGCTTACTCAGGGGTTCCTCAATAGGTGAGTCTCGACGGCAATGAAATAACATAAACTTTAGTACAATCAAAGAAAGATAGATAATTTATCATTTTGCATCAGGCTAATTTTTTAAACCACAAAAAATTCTGATTTATCAGTTGTGTTTCAGCATGGGCAAGTGCAGTGACATGGTGGACGAGCAGGCAGAAGCCATGTTGGCGTTGTCCATGTTCCCGCAGCTGGAGCAGCTGTTGACGAGCACGGGTGCCACTACGACGGACGGGTGGGGCACAGCGCTGGGCCATGCATTGTTACACCTGTCTCGAGGCAATCAAGACGAGATGGTGGCCGGACTGGACCACATCAGACAGGCGTTGGTCCGCAATTTGGCTGGGTGTTCACTCACCAAGAGTGCAATAGGGTATCGGCATGGCTACGACGTTGTGGTCAAGTAAGTGGCGGTGGCACTTTGTTTGATGTTACATAGTGGTAGTTTCACATAGTCCTTTTTAGAGAAGCGAAAACACCATTTGAGTCTTATTTACAACAAATTCCCAATAACACTAACCACACTTTAACACTTATAACACTAACAACACTAATAACACTAACAACACTAATAACACTAACAACACTAATAACACTAACAACACTAATAACACTAACAACACTAATAACACTAACAACACTAATAACACTAATAACACTTTATAGGACTACTGATTGACAATGAAGTAAAGAAAACAGCGATACCAACATATGAGCATGTTTTGTCGTTAAAAAGTTTCTAACAGTACCTACTTGTAATATGGTTTGCGTTAAAAAATATAAAAACACCCTGAATAATTTTAATCATCTGGCACAAGCTATGTCAGCCTCTCTCTCAGTCATGTTCTCTTTGGCTCAAAACTGACTGCAGCTGTTTATATAGATGAGATGTCTACTTAAGTATCCAAAGTGAATGCTAATGGTGATTTAGTAGGTAAATGAATATATAGGATGGAGAGGACACAGCTAACTCACCTGATGAAAGGTTGCAGACGAGTCAAAGAACATATAAAACCACACACATAATAATACTTAATATTTCGCCTCTTTCAGAGGCTTCTTCAGAAGTAGGCCTAGATGGTAGTTACAAAACAACAGTTTAAATAGGATGACACAGTTTCAAACAGAGTTTCTGAAAGAGGCGAAATATTAAGTATTATTATGTGTGTGGTTTTATGTGTTCTTTGACTCGTCTGCAACCTTTCATCAGGTGAGTTAGCTGTGTCCTCTCCATCCTATATATTTATTTAATCCAAGCTAAATGCTTTTTCCTAAAAACATAACCTTAGTAGGTAAATGGTAACTATACTCTAGGGCCTAGGTCTACCTGGCGAGTGGCCAATGGCTGAAGGCCGTGGCCAGTCCAGGGGTTAAGATCACGAGACTGGTTTCATCATCCAGACTGTAATCTGTTTGCAGTGTTAAATTTTCTACTGTTCATATTGTGACGGTTTACATTGTTTTCCTGTGTTACAGGCTGCACATTCTTACTGAACTGGAAAAAGTAGGCCAGATGGTGTTCAAGATGAAGGGGCGGCCAGTCCAGGAGATGGAGAGCATGTTCAGACAGGTGTGTGATTACCATTGACAAATTAATGGTTTGAAAATTAACTAGGGTAGGCCTACATGATTCATAATCGTAAAACATCATCTTGATCCCCAACATAGAAAATGATTATGCAGTAGAATCTTGGCAAGTGATTCAATACTAAACTTGGAGTGTGAACTCCGCAGGTTGTTCAGAAAGAGCTAGACGACCGACTGAAGGTTGTTCAGACATCATACAGAGTGCTTCAGCCGATCTTGGGTGTGAGAAGGGTCGTGTTGTCACTGGCCAAGGACATTGACCCACAGCTACAACCTCTATTCACCACCGAGATCGGAAACAGCTGGCTCAAGAGTATTGAAATCGCACGCAAGTAAGTGTCATTAGGTTTTTGATCGCATCATTTATCAAACTCCATGAGATTTTATTGGTTAGGTTTGAAGACATAAATCGTCATTTATTCATTTCTGAACCTCAGCCATTGTTTTACTAATTTTTATGGTGAAAAATTTGAATAGGAAACAAGTTGTGACTGTTCAAAAGTGGATATAATTTGGTTTGATTTTCTGGAACAAAAAAAAACAGCTGATCTCGGTCAGTAAAGCTAACAAATCATTCATCCAACAATCAATGTTATATGCACTCTGGCGTGCTAGCAGCATATAAATTAAATCTAATCTACTAAATGTCTGCAAGATAGGCCTGGAAAAGTACTTATGTAAAATAAGTTTGAAGAGAACTGTAAAATTGAATCTATTGTTGAGATGATAACGGTTGTGAACGGTTTCCCCAGGTCAGGCCACTTCCAGCAGGCCTACACCAACATATTGACAGTGGAGCCATTCAAGCCGAAGGGACTGTTTGTGGAGAAGGCTCGTCTGTTGTGGGCCAAGTCTGAGCCTGAGGCTGCACTCAACACACTCAAGCGAGGAGTCGAGCGCAACTTCCCCAACATGGACACAGATCGCTCAGGCAGTACACAGAGTTCTGACGAGAGTCTGCAGAAAGACGAGAGACGATTGTGTGCCGAGGTGAGAGTTGGGTTAGCCAACTTTATAGTCTAAGACACAATAAAAAAAGCCTTTAGCAAACTTTAATCCCATTTCCACACATTACCCATACTCATTGCATGCCGTAAACTTCATTCACCTGGCAATAAATATCTGCACATCAAATACATATTTCTTGCTGTTAAAAAACATATCACTGAACTTATCTCGCATGCGGCGGGAGATTTTATAATTTTAAACATTTTCTTAGCTTACGACAAAGCAAACAAGTAAGCTCCCTGCAAATGGCACCATTATGTTCACTAATGATGTCAGTAAGCGGCGAGCCAGTTGAGGGGTATATGCGAAGCTAAACGCACGAACGGCCCTCACTTAAAGAATGACCCTTGCACATAAAATTTGTGAAGCTCAATATTAATTTACAAAGCAACATACTGACAAGACATTGTTGCAGGCATATCTACTTATCGCTCAGTACAACGATGAGAACGCCAACATCGACATGGACACCAACCTGAGGAACTACAAGAGAGCAGTTGCCGTGTGTCAGTCGTGGGAGAAGAGTTATGTCAGTTTGGCCCAGTGTTACTACAAGTGCCTGCGTTCTTCTACACAGCTCTCACAACAGCTGTTAGTGGTTTACTTTCATTCTGTAGTACAGTAGAGCTATTAACGCAAACCAGTCAAATGGTAGGACTACTGTTATACTGTAGGCTGTCAGTAATCCGGCATATATAGGACCGTCATACTGCCGGATTACTGGAATGTTATCAATAAATACACTTAAAAGACGTCTCTAAAGATCGCGTGATCGGAAACCGCTATTGCCACGATCGAGCATGGCTACATGATGTTTTCGTAGTCGTTCATCTAAATGTCCGCGGATGATGTTCATGATTTTGCCACGATCGCGCAAGACGTCAATGACGTTGTCCGTGACTGCGGGAGATGTTCATGATTTTGATGCAATCGCGCAAGACGACGATTACGTTTCCGTGTCCCCGGGAGTAGATTATGATGTCTACATGGCCGTGGAAGATAATAAGAATTGTGCCGCAATTGCGGAAGACCTCACCCGTCAAAAGACGCCGGAATACTGGAGTGCCGGAGTGGGCAGTGCCGAATTAGAGAGGGTCAAAGTCAAAGTCAAAGTCAAAATAAACTTTATTCGTATGAATACATAGCAGCATCAGAATAGAGTCACATATAACTAAAAATCCCATACTTTCATGCTATATAGCTAAAATACAATATGTTTAAAACTATATATAAAACCCAGGCAACCAGTAGTGGAGCCCTCACTTAAGGAAACTCCGAAAAAGAATAGAGAGCTTTATTAACAAGATATTCTTTCAGCAATTTTTTAAATTTATTGTAATTTTGCTCATTTCTAATTAAATTTGGCAACTGAGTAAAAAATTTGGTGCCCATATATTTAGTTTTGTTTTTATAAAAATAAAATGTAAATAGGGTAATAAAGTATTGGCAAACTTATCTATTTAGGTTCATTGTGAAGTACACATTGCCTACCAATTGTTACACTTCTCTAAACAGAATGCCTTGTTTGTGTCACTGGGTAGTGAGTGTGTGTTAATTAGTTAAGATGGCAAATTTGGTTTTAAAAATGTTTGCAGCCTATTTAACACTTGGATTATCCGATTGTTATGTGCCTCAAGTCTGTGAATTATTTAAATATATCTTGCTAGCCTTGTGATTAAGCATTGTGGATTTGGTAATAGAGATTCAATCCTCAATAGAATTTGAGTAGTTTGGACCGTTTTTCCTTAAAAGTGTTTTTGTTCTATAGTGCCACTTAAGTTAAAACGTTGAAACGACATTTCTAAGGCGGTTTGTGAAAAAAAGTAAATTGCTTATGAGATTACCTATGAGAATATTCTACTTTTTCTTCTGCAGTGAATGCCAGGTCCAACTGATCAACATGTTCGGCAAGTCGCTGCAGTACGGGTGCGAATACATCTACCAGTCCATGCCACGGATGTTGAGTACGTGGCTGGACTTTGGCACTCAGCTTGCGCAGGACACGAGAAAGCCTCGCGGTGTCGAGGGCATCTCCGAGCGCAAGGCCGCTATGAATAAGATGACTGCACTTGTTGGTGAGTGGTGTAATACTCCTATTTATCACTGTTAATAGAGCAGTTCACCCAAGATTATTTTTTTTTATTCTGTGAACAGCTGTATAAAGGTGCGTTATGTTACACGGGCAGGAAAATGTACTTAACAACTTCCCAGAATAAATGTAAAACATTAATGAACTCAATGATTTCCTATAATTGAAGTGTGCATAAGGCATCGTAAGATCATTTTTCTTAGCTATTTCAGTATAGTTCTCATTTTCCGCAATCTGATACCCTCTGGATCATGAAGGTTTCACATCTTTTAGAGTCAACTGTATTGGAAGTATGTATCATAGAGCACAAGAGCATAAGTCCCTAAAGACATCTCTCTCAACTCAAACCTGTCAGTCACAGTGAAACATTCAAATTTTAATTTTTGTATCTTTTTCGTTGGGATAAGACTGCCGGCAAAAACTCTGTTTTTAAATTTGTTTCGGATTGTTTCATAATTTGTTATTTTAGGCTTTGAAATTTTTATATTATATTATACGTTACAAACCTAACATTCCCTCCAGACTTAAGAACCCCCCCCCCCCCTCCCATGTTACCCTATTAACTCTAAACCCACTAAAGTCTGGTAGCTGTTCTTCATAACAATGAAACAATGAGCAACAATGAGTGGTTTCCGAGTACCAATGCTTACATCACACTTTGTACGATGTTCAACAGAAGCGTACCGCAAGCGGCTGCCGACGTACATGTTCATGACAGCGTTCTCTCAGATTATCTCTCGCATCTGCCACCCTCAAGATGGCTGCTATGAGATACTCAAGGCTATCATCATCAAGATCATCATCGCCTATCCTCAACAAGCTCTCTGGATGTTCCTGTCTGTTTATAAAGTAAGAATTTAAACGGCAAAACAAATCTTGAATTCGAGAAAAGATTGAAACACTTTTAAGAATCTAATTAAAAATCTCATTTACACTTGCCCCACTACGACCTGTGTGTTTGTTCAAGGTCTAATAATAACATCTGGATGGGGAAGTTCAATCAAGTCCCTAACATTCGGGATTTTTAGGGTGATTTTTGTTAGGCGGGATTTGAATAAGTCATATTTTTCTGTTGGGAATCTTTTGATATGATCGCAACCCCAAGAAACTGATGCAGTGTTACTGTAGTTGCAATTAATGCTCACCTACACTACTGCAATTGAGGCTCATACCGTTTTGAAAGTTATTTTGTGTTTTTGTATGTATTCAAAATGTAAGTTAGTATGAGTGATTCTTTTTACTTGGAATTTCATCAGATAAAAAAATTCACTGATTCAAGATTTAGGACTCATTTTTTTTTTAATAAGACTTGAAATTTAGAATTCTTGGCTTTGTTAGCTTCTGAGGTTAAGGAGATCCAACGCTAAACCTAAACAATGGAACACACCTTCATGTAACCATTCAAAATAGTCTACATTTGTATTCAAACCAAATTTAACACCTGAGATTTAAAAGTTAGCAACGATCAAAATGTCATTTATGGGTACTATGAACGATAAGGTTTTGCCATTCACAAATCAATATACTTAGCACTACTTCTTGACAATTATCTAATGCTGTCAGATTAATCAGGTCACTTTCTGTGTTCCAGTCGCCATACACAGTGCGAGTACAGCGATGTGAGGAGGTGCTCAAGTGCAGTGAAATACTCAAGAAGAAGGAATTGAACCAAACAATCAATGACTTCCGAGACCTGTTCAACCGCCTCATCGAGCTCGGCAACAAGAACGTGGAGGGGGTTAGTTGAGTTAAATTTAAGTTGTACTGCTGTGCTCTGCAAATTTACCCTACTTTTCTTAGTTTCTTAAACCTCCGTTTTGGAAAGGTTTATTAGTATATGAGCTTCAAGTCATATAAACTATCCACCTTTTGTTTTATAGCATAACACAGTGAAAAAACACTCATATTGACAAAGTAGAATATGTAATCGCCTGCACTAGAGACTTGTATTGTTAGTGCTTCAGACTGGTGGTGATCATGTTAGTTAGGATGGTGTGTAGGGGAGGGAGGGGGGAAAGGATCCTAAAAAGTGTTATGAAATAAATCCAATGGAAATTTATTGTTGAGATGATCTTACAAAATAACAAAAGCGACAGTAGTTGGGAAATATTTCTCGTGTTTGTTTACCGCTCGTAACTCGTAATTGGCTCCATCAATAGGTCTGATCCCTCAGAACAAATCCAGTATTAGTCAGATTGGTGCAATTCATGAATTGTGTACATGTCCGTCAAAAAACTTGCTTGGAATTTGGATTTTAGCATTCGTTGTATAGAGGAAAGTAGGGATGGTCAAGTCTCGAAATTTCGACAAATTTTCAATCTCGTTATACAAAACGAGATTTCTTTTTGGTCAAGATTTTTCGAGACGAGAATTAAAAAAATACGCCTGCAGAATGTCAATGCAATGCCCGCAATACAGGAGCGCGTAGTTGCGTTTCCTTTGCTAAGGCGTTCTTATTTAATTAATTCTTTACATGTAAATATTACTTTCATTATTAAGTGTAAGCAGTGTGAGGCATGTTTTACTACTATAAACATTGCCAAAACAAGTAACTATTTTATACAAATTAATATTGTTTTTAATTTATGATTTATTTTATTTTAGGATAAGTTTAACTCTATCCTATCTGATATCACCATGTTTCCTAATTATACGCATTTTTAATAAGTTAGGCGTAATTAATATACATTTGCTGATGTTTTTAATAAAAGATTTGAAAGATTCTTGCCTATTATTATTAATTTTGTATTTAAACAGTCATCTAACAATGTTACAAAATGAGGTGAGAAGGGAAATCCCGTCTCAAATTTTATAAGAAATAGAAAATCTCGTCTCGTCTTGAATTAAAAATCCAATCTCGTCCATCCCTAGAGGAAAGCACAAAAATAGGCATAATTTGACCCTCGCAAGACTAAGAGGTGTAAGTATACAGGGTGTCCCGGAACTCTATACCAATATTTTTGGGCATTGATCCTGGGTAAGAAACGTACCTAAATATCATATTTAAATTGTCCAGAAGTCCTTAGTTACTCACACAGCCGCCATTTTGTTTTTTTCAGTTATTAATTTTTTTCCAAAGAATGGTTAAACATACGAAATGGAAACTTTGCACAAACATTTATGACAACTAGACAAAGCTACAAAAAAATTATGACGATTTTTCAAATTCATAAAACAAAATGGCGGCCATTTAAAATTTTCTTTTTTAAATAACTCAAAAAACCATTGATTTTACAAAAATTGTCTAGTTTTCATAAATGTTTGTGCAAAGTTTCCATTTCGTATGTTTAACCATTCTTTAGACAAAAATTAATAACTGAAAAAAACAAAATGGCGGCTGTGTGAGTAACTAAGGATTTCCGGACAGTTTAAATATGATATTTAGTTATGTTTCTTACCCACGAGCAATGCCCTCAAATATTGGTAGAGAGTTCCGGGACACCCTGTATATTATAATAAGCCTGTGTACTACACCCCTTCGTCTTACAAGCAACTAATTGATCCCTGTCTTATCTCAATGCAGCAATAGCATCGTCCTTTACCACTTGTCAAAACTTGGCACTATGATGTTCCAGAGATGCTCGAGTGTGAACATTAAAACATTCTACCGCTCACTGTACATGCTGGTGTCTAACCCTAGGCTCAGCAGAATTGTGATTCCGTTACAGCGTTTCCGCACTATCTCCCTTCCACGCACCACGGCCGAGTACCACAATCCCTTCCCCGAGTGAGTACTTGAAGAAATAAACTTATTAATAGGTCTAGTTATTTTCAAAATAAACTTATCACACACTTTTATAGAAATTTCTATATTTCGGCATTAGCCTTCTTCAGGAACAAACACAATAACAAATAGAAGTGTTTACCACTCTGAATCATATGGTTTTAGCAAAAATCCAAAATACATATAATTTATGAAGAAGTAAAAAAGAAAATGTTTTGATAGAAAGAAAGAAAAATTTTTTATATATATATATATATGTATATATATACTATCTCAAATTTAGACCGGAAGGTGTTTTAGATTTAAGTATTAATTGATGAGCTTGCTCAAGCTGTCTTAATTTCAAGTCTGGTGCGTCTTTTGCCAATTTTCTTATTCCTTTTAATGAATAACATTGTTCAAAATTTTGAGAATGCTCTCTCGCATGAATAGCCACAGGTTTTTGTTTATCAGGATGGTTTACATCATATCTGTGGCCATTCATACGAACTCTTAGAGCATTGGTGGTTTTGCCAATGTAGTCTTTAGGACAATTTTTGCATGAAATTTGGTAAATTACATTAGTAGACTCACAGGTGATGTTACTATTTATGTTATAACATCTTTTTGTTTGCCTGCTTGTGAAAGTTTTTGATGGGATGATTAATTTGCAAGTGGCACATCGTGGTTTGTTGCATTGATTACAGCCCGATTAATTAATACTAAAGTATACATTTTGTATACTTATAAAATCTAATTAATAGGTCTAGTTAAAAATTCATAATTAAGTATTTTTTTAAGATTTCAGCCTCCAATTTTTTTTTTTTCAAAAATCACTAATAATTCTGTAAAATATGCTTTATTCAAAAAATAGTTGTCTAAGTTAAGTGTACTTTAGAAGCTACATTAGTTTGCAGAACATTCTAGTGAATAATGAGTGATCAGAAGTTGAATATGCAGTTGGTTCAGGAGGTTGAAAAACACCCTGTGTACTTTTTGACATCCTGTACATAGACTGAAATTTTGCGTCCGTTTCTTGTAATGCAGCAGCAGTTACAAAGAGCCTACATTTAATATTTGTTTCGGCATAAGGATGTACCCAATACCTTATACGTCCTCTATGCTTTCTTGGTTGTCTATAAAACACCTGCTCTTCATCACTACTACTCATTCCAAACACCATACACAGTACACAGTATCGTTATAGCAAAATTATAACTCATTCACTGTCTCAACTCAACTACTATTTTTTCAGTCGCGCCTGTGTGGATTTAACCAACACAACTGCAATCGTAATCGCATCACAAAACAGTTGTTTCAACTTTAGTTGGGTTTCAGTCTTCCCATGTGTCGACCGCCTTAACTGATTTCACATCCAGGATAGTATATCCTGAAGACCTGCTCAAGAATAATGTTAAGGATATTTTCTTCTAATATTGTAACTTTATGTTCAATTCCTTTAATTAGTGTGCCTACCTTCGCTGAGAAATTTAATCGTGTTCCAGTACCCTACTGGGATGAATATTATTTGACTAATCAAAAAACTAGTCTCCATACTCACTTAGTAAGTTAGGCTACCTGACTAAAGATAAGCCAAAGTAGGTTTTGCCTTTTTTCTTTCAACCTACTATTATACCATTTACTACTACAACTTACCATTTAGTGATTTTTTTCATTTACTGAACTTACTATTTATAATTTTCAAGAGATCTGGTCTACATTGCTGGTATGAAGGAAGAGGTAGTCATTGTTCCGTCTTTGCAGAAGCCTAAGAGAATTTCTTTGATTGGCACGGACGGAAAAATTTATTCATTGCTATGCAAGCCAAACGTAAGTTGACATTTGTCTATAAAAATGAAATATAAGTAATTTTGTCTATTTAGTGTTAAAAATTTTGAGTTAAACCATTGACTATTGGATACTGAAGTAGACATCCTACCTATATTGGACGAGCTGTAGCCATTTTTTATTAAAAAAAGAAAATAGTATTATGACTTATGAGCCAGCCACAGAATGCCCGAGTGTCTAAAATTCTATTTTCTCCCTTATTTTTTGTTGCTAACAGTATATGGGTCTTAACGGTTACTGTAGCTCAACTTAAAGCTGTGCTGTGGAAGTCACTTAATCAGTTTGACTTACAATTAATTACAATGATTTTGATAAAAAAACTGACCACTACTACTTTTTATTAAGGTATTATATTTCAAATGTCTTGGCTTATTTTGTGGGCTTATAAAATCTAAACCTCTAAAAACTATCTTTTGCTGGATTGAATAAACCTATACATTTGACTTTTACATGTACCTGTAAGATCTACAAATCTTATACGGTAACATTGTTTGCTAAATGTTTGTACCAGGATGACCTGAGACTGGACTCACGGATGATGGAGTTCAATTCTATCGTCAACATGTATCTCCAACGTGACCCTGAAGCTCGGGAACGAGGATTGTATATCAGAACTTATGTAAGTGTTCATAGTTGAAAAGGTTAAGCGACTGAATGTTTGGGTATTTCAAGCTATTGGGGTTTCAAACAACTCCAATTGGGGGTTTTCCTTAACTACAGGTGTAAAGAATTAAAGATGCAAAGCAAATTAAAGGCTTAGGATCATAAAAATGTGTATAATCAATTAAAAGGAAATCAACCAGGTGTACAAAAAAAATGGTATTTAAAGGAATATGGTTTCATATCAATCAAGAGGGGGGCGATCTAAATAATATGTAAGTTAATATTACAAATATTTTGTACATCGTTCTTCTAGTGTAGACAGTTGAAATATTTAAAATCCAATAGTAAGCGAGAGATTGTGTTGTGTTGACAGAGCGCAGTTCCCTTGAGTGATAGCAGCGGCATCATCGAGTGGGTGCCTAACCTGCTGGGCTTGCGACACATCCTCAACTCCGCCTACAAACAGATGGGCATCACTGTGACACACAAGGAATACAAGGAGTGTGCTTGTGGTAATTTCACCTTGTACTGACCGACCAACCAGAAGAAAACGAGTTGTAAAATTTGGCTAGTTATTAGTAGAGGAAACCCCTTTTCAAACACAATTGAAACCATAGTAAAAAATACAAGTCAATTGGAAAATTAACTAGGCAACAATGTGAAGCCTGTGTCATGGCACCAACTGTGAAGATAGACGACAGAAAAAATAACTGTGGATTGTTTCACATTTAATGTTGACTGCTATATCGCTTTAAAAACTGTGAACTGCCAATGTGAATCTCTTTGAAAAGATAACCTAGAATTTCAACTGTTGATAAACCACAAAAAGGCTATCCAAAACAGCCGCTTCTCTTTGTAGTTAAGTGAGGTTTTACTGTAGTTCAACCCAGTTGAACTTTGACTTTGTCGTCTTAAATAAATCACATGTTGTGAATTATATTTACAAATTTAACTAAAAAACCCGTCTGCCTATAATAAGGATTATTATTTTTACACTACCAAAAAGGTGACAATGCCATTCCAGTTTCTGTCCATTTTTTTTAACGTTTTGAAGAGAACGGTCAAACACTAGTCTTTTTACTATCTATATCTAACATTGACCTTTTTGTTTAATAGCATCATTAATATAAAGCCCAACAATAAATGGCATCTTGATTTGGAAATTATCTCGCTTGGAATCTAACTATCCACCTTAAATAAATAAAAAAAAAAAATGTCTTTATTGAGTGTTTCTCTGGTACACCAACTTTTGTCACTATGATAAATATATTATACTACTACCTATTTGGCTGTTATATACTTAGACTATAGTTAAACATTTTTTTAAACATATATTTAAGTTTTTCTTTAAGTATTTTGCTTGATGCAACAACCTTCAGGCCGTCGGGAAGACCATTGTACACTTGAGGGTGCAAAATATGAGAAGCTCTTCCTCCCAAGCTCTAGAGAAACTTTTGGGAGGTAAAACCTCCCACCATGACAAGGTCCTGTGATGGGAAACCTTATCGCGAGAATGCCTCTCGCGTAAATAGTTGGGCTTACAAAGAGACAACACTCTGTGGGTCATGCAGCACGTCAACAAGCTGCACATGGCTTCAACGGGAAGCAAGGGAGAGACATGATCAAATTGTTTCAAACAGAAAATGAAACGGACTGTGGAGTTTTGCAGGCGTTGCAACCGATACATGTCTTCCCGAGAAATGCTGTTGCCATATGCAGGGAAGCAGTAGTAAAATACTGACAGTGACAGTAAAATACTTAATTAGTGACTGCTCGAGCTGAAGTTTTGCAGCCTCAGGAAACAAGCCTCTGAACCTATACAAACCTCTTAGTCCCCCTAAGGCTCGCTGAGAAACAAAGGTGACATGACCTTCAGATTTGAAAGGCTAGCATTATAAATACTCGGCTACCCAGACAATTGATGTAATGTAAAATACGCTACAGCTTGGTCAAATAGTCGGTGTAAGTGAGAATAATCAGTAGTTGACAAAAGCACTGTCAGTGGCTCAATTAAATTTAGACTGGATATGAGTTTAACATAGATATTGAATTTCCCCTACTCTCCTTAATCAATGTAGAGGTCGTGCGGAACGAGGTGAAGCCTGAGATTTTCGGCGGGAACAGTCCAAAGCGGGGAAATCCATGGTGGGGTAGGAGACGAGCCGATCGTCGCCTCGCATAGCGACACTTCCCCCGCCACACCACTATTCCCCTCCAAGCTTCACCTCGTTCCGTACGACCTCTACAAACCTTTCTCAGTTAAAAAGCCTATTAAAACAGTGAATAAAGTATTCTAGTTATAGATTGTTGTGTGATAGTAATTATCTTTCTTGCGCCGGCATGTTATCTTTTCAGGTGATTCCGCTATTCCATCCACATCCCTTACAATTTTGTCTTTTCACAGGGAAGTCAGACCCGCTGTCCAAAAAGCGAGCTGTCTTCCTGGAGAAGCTGCTGCCGAGACACCCGCCAGTGTTACGAGACTGGTACTTGCGCGAGTTCAGTCACCCTACAGCATGGTACCTCGCACGGACTGCCTACGTACGCACCTTGGCCGTCATGAGCATCGTGGGCTACATGCTGGGGTTGGGCGACAGGCACGGTGAGAACATACTGATCGACTCAACGTGCGGCGACGTGTTCCACGTGGACTTCAACTGCCTCTTTAACAGAGTAAGTTTACGATCGGTTGAAGAGGTAGAGCCTTTAGATGGGACTGGTGGTTAGAGAATGGATTTACCAATCGTCTTGTGTCCTAGAGAGATTTTCATTGATGATTCGACTAATTGTAAACTCCCATTCTTTCTGACCTTTGTTTAGTCTTATGCAAACCCAGTAAAAGCTGGAAAATCACAATAATAGAAATAGTATACAAAGGATTGTATGGTAGTTGAGTTGAAACAACAAAAAATCCTGATAGGAAGCAGTAGTCAGGACAGATGATAGAACACATTCCATTATGTTCGCTTGTCCTTTATTATTGTTTTCTGTTATGATTTTTTAATTTGATTATTAGTTACAAATCCCTCTGTTGGATTTTCGTTTGTGATTTCCAGATTTTGCTTGGTTTGCGTATGTTTTAGGTACTTCACCACCTGAAAACAGGGTCAAACTCCACATCCAGTAATATCTTGAAAAATTCTTTTACTAGTCGTGTTGGGAAATGTCTGCTACCCACTCTAAATAACTCGTACTTACTATCACAAAAAATTAATTAAAAATAATTCCCAAAAGATTTAAGGTAAGGTATAAGAAGTAAAAAACAACACACTGTGTGACAACGGGTAAAGTTCTCTTCTATTTCTAATACATTAAGGAAGAAGGGACGGAGACAACTCTAACAAGTTCACTACAAAATAAATCCTTCCCAATCTATATGTGAAGAAAAAGAAACCCCTTTGAGAAGTAAAATGTCAAGTTAAATTTGTTACAACATTTTATGTTCTATCAACTACTTGGAACTCTTAACTTGAATTGGTTTTGGGCTTTTCCCTTTCTCATTATTTTATTCCTAAGCCAAGTTCCTTTTTCTCCGTAAGAAAATATATATTTAAACATCAATATGTTTTATTCATTCCTTCTTTTAAGAGAATATTTTCAAATGTGTCGATTGGTTGCAGGGCGAGCGGTTTGACTTTCCAGAGAAAGTTCCATTCCGTCTGACTCACAACTTGGTGCACGCGATGGGTCCCACGGGAGTGGAGGGGATTTTCCGTCACTCGTGTGAGATCACAACTCGAGTGATGAGACAACACATGGACCAGCTGATGTCAGTGGTGCGGCCGTTCTGCTATGACCCGCTGGTCTCGTGGAACATCAACAAGAACACGCGAGATGAGAATGCAGAGATGACCAATGAAAAGGTGCCTAAAGATAGTTAATTTCCTTTTTTACTTGTTTGTTGTTGCAGTGAACAGCTATTTTATCTGGTTAAATTTTGTATTGGTACACGTGTACACAGTCAGATGTAAAATTGTGTCAGTATAATTTATTTTTTTTTTTAAATACAACCGACTTCAAACGCTCTAAAAAGAATGAAATAATGTCAATAAAGTAAACTTTTGTATTAGGCAAGCTTACGTATTTTAAGACGGCGCGGCTCTATGATGATTTTTGATACAAAATTGAAAGAGGGTATCCATATTGCAGGTGACTATCTATAACTAAAGGTGTTAATCTGCATGTCTTTTTCATAGTTATGCGTTAAGTGTTATTTTATTACCGTAATCAGAGATCGGCATTATAGTGGTATTAACGGAGTATCTTTAAAAAGATTATAACGCATTTAAATGTTTCTAACTTGGAAAAGTAACGTTTTAATACTAAACTAGCTTCTTTTCCCTATCATAATATCAAACTAAATTATTTTCCTATTCATATAAAAACATTTGTGTGTGTTATTTTCAAAATGCATTTATTCTGAAGTAAACATAAAATGCAAAAAAATATTAATATATAAACAAAACAGTTCAGTATGTTTCTTTTTATATATTTATTAATTTTAATTAATTATTTAATATTAATTTCAATCATATTAGTAGTTTGAGCCACGCCGACTTGAAATACGTGAGCTTGCCTAATACAAAAGTTTACTTTATTGACATTATTTCATTCTTTATAGAGCGTTTGAAGTCGGTTGTATTTTAAAAAAAAAATAAATTATTTTATGATTTTTAGTGACTGTATATTTTTTTTACATTAATTACTTGAGAATTTTTGATAAGCAAAACTGTTTAAAACAATCAAAAGTTCCACAGAACAATCATTATTTTAAAACTGCTTGAGTCACCTGTTCAGGTTACATAATCAATGGGTATGAAAATAAATATCTTTAGATATCCCTTAAGAAAGAAAGAGTTGTCCATTACGTTAGGCCTAATGAAAAACTAATTGTCTTTTCTAGATACATTGAAATGTCAGACATCATCGTTTCCTGCAATCGGTGTACTTCTACATTATAAAAAGTACAGTAACGTCTCAAGCCTTTTGGAACAATATGAAAGTTATTCCTCAGCTACCAGCACTAAAAAATCTCTCAAAAGTGGAAAATTGGCGTTAACACCATAGTACCTTTCGTATAGTACATTTAGAAAATATTATATGAAAGATTGGTTCAGCTAAAAGTGGTGTAAGTCATGTAGGGGGTTTTGTTTGCTCAAGATATAGCCTAGTCGAAATTGCAAATCATTTTCCTCTAGGACTTTTCGAAGCAGGCATAATAGTATTGATGTGTTATAGTAACTGGGTAGAGAATATTAATAAACATTCCACATCTGCAAATGAAATATGTATATGAAAGATTGGTTCAGCTAAAAGTGGTGCAAGCCATGTAGGTGGTTTTGTTTGATCAAGATATAGCCTAGTCGAAATTGCAAATCATCTTCCTCTAGGACTTTCCGAAGCAGGCATAATAGTATTGATATGATATAGTAACTGGGTAGAGAATATCAATAAACATTCCACATCTGCAAATGCATGTTTGTTTAGTAATTAAAATAATTAACACTTTTAAGACAATTGGCGATTATGCACTGTCACACTTCTTAGGTCGTGTGAGGAATAATTACATTTAATTTATATTTAGACCTGTTTTACGAATGCTTTGGTTTTCACAATACACCTTTATTTGTCAATATCATACAGCTATTCACTGAAACATATATGTTTTTGTAAGTCAGAATATTCAATATTAAAAACAGAATTACTGTATATACAAATCAGGTTAAACGTTAAAATACATTTTTTATAGTAATCAAAACAAAATGCATTTTTCTCAATGGAATTCATTTAGGCTCCATGGCAAAAAAATAGTTTATTGATCAATATGAAGCAACTGTTTCATGAAGAATTGTCTGTAGCTTCATTTAAATGGTTTCAACTAACAGCTGTAGGAATGTTATTATTATTTATTGCCTTCTCTGCACAAATGTAAACAATCTGCACAAGTGTAAACAAAATAAGTGTTGAATATTTAAGGTTTTCAGAATTTTTCATCGAAACAAATATTATACTTAAACATAATATATAAGGTACCAAATAGAAACTCTCCTGGTTATTTTGGTGGTGGAACCACACTGATCGGTAAAAGAATCACAGAGAAATTGGTGAACATTCATAGAAAAAAAAAAACATCGCCACAAACAAATTGAGAACCTCCTCCTTTTGTTGGTAGTGGGGAAGTCGGTTAAAAAGACTATGAACCCGGTACATATTCTTATCCCGATTTTTGTATGGTTTCAGGCTATGGATGACATACAAAACATCGAGATGCGATTACAAGGGATTGTCAAAACCAAGAACGGTTCGTACTCGGTCCCTCTGTCTGCTGAAGGGCAGGTCCGGATATTGATAGCAGAAGCAACCGACATCAACAATCTCTGCCAAATGTACATCGGCTGGGGTCCTTACTTGTGATCTAAGGTGTTTAGTAACTTGTGTTATAAGCCTACCAGTGAAGATTTTAGTTCCTTCGAAATGTTTGTAATCTCACTAACTTCCAAGGCAAAGATATCTTCGGTGAGTTGGCCAATATACTTTGAAAAGTTCCTATTTTTAGTTTTTTTTACTTTAGATTGGCCTCTAGATCATCAGAAAAAAATAAACTTAATGAAGTTTTAGTTCATCAGTTGGATCGATCAACACAAAGGTGACCTTCATTTGTTAAAACTCATTGTAGGGAATATGTTAGAACTTAAAACTTCAGTACATCACAATAAGATTATATAAATATAAATACTGTATATATATTGGAAAGAGCTCTTTTGAATTAGGAATACAATAGAGAGAAATGGATACACAACTGAAGATCCAAAAGAATTTAAGGCAGTTATAGCAAACAAAAAGTTCACAACTCAATTCAATTTGACATTCCCCCTCTAAGGCCTTCTTCCAAAAGAAGTAGCAGAATCATTCCATTTCTTCTTCCCAATACTAACTAAACTGTTTACATAACTTAAGTGTTTTTTTTATTACTTTAGGCCTGGGTATTTAAGGATTTTGTAATGCATAGTTATAACACCAGGCTTACCTTACTGATGAAAATGGGAAAAACTGAATAGGTAACTAGTAGAATTTTCTGAGCTAGTTGGCCCTTCTTGAGTACCTATTACTCTTTCTTTCTACCGACTCTTCTACTCAAGAAGGAACAAGTAAGATAGAAGATGTAAATCTGGAGATTGTATGGGTTACCTGTTCTTTTGTCTTTTTTCGTCATTAAGGTAAGCCTGTTGGCATAACTTTTCATTACAAAATCCAATGTTTCACTAAGGTGTTTTTGGTAATCAAAAGAATGTACCCTAATTTAAATAATAAACATTAGTTAGTCTTGAAAAAAAAACACAATTCATTTGTGTTGGAAATATGAGTACGTAAGGTGAAAAATATTGATAGAGCTCATGCCTTTGGAAATGAAAACTTAAAAAGACATTTTCTTAGTAGGCTACCTATATGGATTATTGGTCAAAATACCGACTCACAAGATTTTAAAGTTACAGTTCTTCTATGTTTCCAACAATTACAATATTATAATTTGTAATCCTGCCTAAAAGTATTCAAGGGTGCCTTTGTAGTTAAATTTGTTGTGTGCATAAAATAATCTTGTACGAATGTTATAGACCCTATTTTGTAAAACATGTTCATAAAGTAGCTCAAACCTGTTTTATGTGTACAATGTAGCGGAAAGTAAAATAATATAAGTGATAAAGTAAAAAAATGTGATATGTGTGTGTGAAGGTTAAGCAAGATGACTCAGTTGTAGCTCATACTGAAGTCAGGTGTAATGACAGTCTTGACATCTTGCTTGCTGTTCTGTGGTGGGGTCAATGTCAACAAATTTTGTATTTTGCCATCTGTAATTTATTCTAGAGTATAGATAGGTTACTGTTATCTTTTGTTGTGTTAAGTAAGTTATGTTTTTCATGAGTTATGTTCATTTTTCTGAGGACGTTTAAGTAGTGTAATCTGGTAACTTGTAATAGTTAATTTTGAAAACAAGTTACATAATGAATCGGCTGTAATGTGATCAGTTGACGGTAGTTCCTTTGACTAGTTATAGAAAAAACTGTTAATAATTTAGGAATAAAATGTATTATTTAATTAAACTGTGTTTAAATATTGTAGTTGTTATTCTTTTCCAAACAAAAATATCTTGATTCTGCATCATGCCTCATTTTCCTGCAGTTAACAAATATAACATTGAAGTGATGTGAAATGATTCACTGTTTATTTCAAATGCTAATTTTTCTTTTCATGGAAAATAAAGCTTTGTCTTTTGTCTATTGTCTTTTCGGCACTCTTGTATTGATACGAGATATTGACGTGTTGAGAAATGGGATATTTTTTCTTGTTACATTTTTTACAGAGATAACACACACACACACATTTCAAAACACATGATTATTAAGTAGGGTATGTAATAGTGGAGAAACATTTAAAAATATCCAAAGTTTATATTCAGACCAGTAGGTAGAGCACAAGATCCAAACGATCAAAAGATTCAAAAGTATAGCCATTGCTAGAAATATAATTTTACATTGTGAAGTAAATCTATGAAAGAGACTGTCCTTTGGATCTTGTGATACTAGATGGGACAGAAGATCCAATATAAATGTATCAGTATTTCCAATTACCAGCAGATCCAAAAGTAGGAATGATTGCGCCTCAGATTGAAGGTGTGCACGCATGCAGTGTTCCTTGCATTTTGTTTTCTTCTGTGGTATCTCTCTTCGCCCGGAGGCTCATTGAGAATGATTCAACATGTTTGGACATAAATCTTAGTTACTGACAAAATAAATAGTATATTTCATCACTAGGGGCTAAAGTGACTCTGAGACGCAAGGTTGAGTTTTACGATCGAGGCAAAGCCGAGGTCTAAAAAGGGCGAAGGTTAAAAAGGCACTTTTTGCCCATGTGGTGAACTAAATTTTTCGTCATATTGCATCATTAATTAACAAACAAAGCTTGAAAACAAAATAATTTTGATGTAAAGATAACCTATCAATACAACTTCCAGCTTGTTTTCAATTCTGCTAATGCAATAAATAAGCAGCTGTTTATTAAAAGTGATTCAATAATTTTGTCTAATAAGATTGTGTTACAGTACATTATACCATACCATCGATATGTCGAGCAAACAACGACAATAGGCTAACACCATAATCTAATAAATCAATCGATAAATAATTTTGATCAATAAGATTGCCTCAATCGAAATTTACAACTGTTTACAACAGCTGATTTTTACTCCTTTAGAGAGTAAAAATGTCTTTAGACCCGCAACGCATGCATTAGAAACTCCTGTTTTTGCTGCAGTATGACAAAAAAGTAATTTTTCAACTGGATAGCAGCTAATTCTTTTCCGTTAAAAAATTACTAAACTAAAACTGTGATATTAAGTCTCTAAAATGTACCTGATGTTTCTCAAGATCATGTAAAATAAAATACTTATGTTTAATGTAGGATAGGAAGTTAACTTGGGAACCACATTATGTAACGTCTCACTGCGAGACTACAATCTAGAGTTGTTATTCTTTTCAATTGACTGTATGTGTGTATTTTAAAACGTTTTTATTAGCTCGCTTTCTTGTCCGGTACAAATTTTGCAATCAATTTTATACTAACTTCCCGATGAGCTAGAGACTTAAAACTTGAAACATAGCACACAAATGGATGACAATACAATATTGTATCATTTAATTTCATGTTTCCCTAGGGCTAAGCGACATGGGCTTGTTTTTATTAGCTTGCTTTCTAACAAATTTTGATATCAATTTTAAACGAAGTTCCCGATGAGCTAGAGACTTTAAAATTGAAACATAGCTCACAAATGAATGACAATGCAATATTATATCATTTAATTTTATATTTCCCTTGGGCTTCCAAATTTTCCATGTTTACGTTTTGAAAGAATGTAATTATGTCAATTAATTTAAGTCAGCTGTAAATACTTAAATTTGACAGTTCGAAGAGCAGAGGTTAAGAGGTACAGGTTCATTTAGATCATAACAGTTCAAGAGGTGAAGTTAATTGTAAATTAGCATGTGCCCCACATTTTGCGTTTTAAATCTAACAAGTATTTATTCTCTCAACATATTTATAAATTATTTTCTACTTTTTAGTGCGTTTAAAAACGTGGCATTTTTTAAAAGTATTTTTATTTATAAATTATTTACTAAAAGCTAGTTTATTTTACTATAGTTTGACAATATCACCTGTTTTGTCTTTCTGTGCCAGAGAATTGTAAAAAAATGTGTTACTACAATAAAGGTGACTTTGACTTTGTTTCGAGCTGGTTGCCTGCTCCCAAAATATGTTTGCTCTGACTGTTTCTGCATTATCATCATTGCCAGCAGCAAGATGCAAAACCCCTTTTAGTAACAAACAATTTTTTTGGGCCCTTAAATAAAAATCTTTTACTTTTCCAGGACTTCCGTGATTGAAATAAAAGTTCATTAATTGATCAAGAAACCACCTTAAATGTTTTTTTTCACATGTTCGATCTGGAGGCAAATTCAAAGCAGATCCATTCGACCAGGTAAGACAAGAAGTCTAGAATTTGAGCAAATGTTATGTTAGTCAGGTTAAGTGTAGGAAAGGGCCATGTGGCCCCAAGTTTGTCTGAATAAATAATTTGTTAAATAATTTAAAAGATTTAGGTAAAAAAGATCACCTTCAAGTTTTATCAGGTACCAACAATATTGAAGCGATGATAACTACTAATGTATGATGTACACAAGGTTATCAATCACACCAAGCTTACAAACCTGATATATCCTCACTTCCTGTGCCATACAACTAACCTTACCTGGATCTTGGAATGTTATGACAAAAGTAGAAACCTTCACTTATACAGAACACCGATCTTGAAATTTTTGATTCCTTTCCCGTAAAAATCCCAATACTGGGAATAATTTTCAACAATTAAATCTTTTTCCAATAACAATAATGCACTGAGTCTACCTAACAAATCGCCGGACAGTGCAATGAAATCAATAATTTTTACACACCATTGCAGACAAAGTAGTGAAAATACGAGAGATATTATGTGCATGCTCCCATAGCTGGATGCTTACTAAATGTATGATAAGTTAGAAGTTTAGAACTAATAATAAAATAGGGGTGTTAGCACTGTCCCAAGCAGCGCCAATGCTGAGCGTCTGTTTCTTTGTGAACTGCCCTCCTTCTCCCACATAATTATTTAATTTGCCTTTATTTTGTACAGAATACAAGTGGTATTGTCAAGTCTGCAATTACACAATAGCGCAATTCAATAAAACTTATCTCATGTATCATTTGTACTATTCCCTGCCTTTGTTGAGCTAAGCATATATTTTCTATGGAATAAAGATTATTGGGTGAATGGTGTGCGGTTAAGAAGAGAAAATTATCACTTGGTTTGGTATGTAGATTTAGGTTCAAATACAATACTTAAATGAAGTAAAACACTGAAGCAGTTTGTACATTTTAATTTGTACTAGTAGCACAAAAATTAACATGTTTATGTGATTATATGATGCATGTAATAATTAATATTGTAGGTTTATCCACCAAGATTATCAAGATTTCGCATGGATTCAGTACATTAATCAACCTATCATTTTCATTAAAAATATAATATAGTACATTACAAATATTTAAAAAATCTACACTAAATACAATTGTTTTATTAACCTGTACAGTTGATGAGTTTTACTGAAATGCCTTAAAAGCTAGTCTAGTTACTAAAAGTAGGTACAATTAATTCACCACCCAAAAATAATGTAATATACAGTAGAACCCCTCATATCCAGCCACCACGGGACCAAGCCCCTGGCCGGATAACGATTTGGCCTGATAAACCAACCTACTATGAAAATGACCATTGATCTAATAATATTATCTAATCAATATATGCAGTCAAAAGTATCATTCAAGTCTGTTCTGGGATTATTTTTAGAAGAATAAACATGTTTATAACTTTAAAAAAAATTATTTGTAAGCTAAAGTCGTTAAGTAATGATAGTACAAATACTATGATTCCAGGTAGGCCTACAAAAAATATTAAACAATAATGGAGGTAAAATGACAATGAATTGGACTTGAAGATCATTAGGACTTAAATGGTACATGCATTTATAAGTTACTCAACTTTCTTATCCACTTAGTGAAATACAAAAATTAATGTACCGGTACGGTACTGTACTGTACTAACCCCACTTTGGAAAATAATCAACCAACTGTTCACTGTTCAGAGGTTAGGCCTACTAGCTCAACTGAGTATAGTGACACAGTAAATAAATTATAAACAAACAGATAAATAGTGAGAATAATTCATTTTATGACTTGAGTAAACGCAAAGACTAGTGCTTGCATCTAAATGTCTGTAAGATGCGAGAAAAACATTTTCTTATTGGCTTCCTGGAAGGGGCCGGATAAACAGAGGACCGGTAAAACCAAGGCCGGATATGAGGGGTTCTACTGTATTCATAAAAATGTACACAAAATGGAAAAATCAACAAAATCTTGACATTAGTGGGTTTTTAGTATCCATGCAAAACACAATAAGATGGTAGCTTTGACTATTAATACAACCATACTTCTGTATCCAATAGTCAATGATAGTAGCTAAGAAAAGTACCTTGACATCTTATTTGAGTGTTCAGTTTCATTTGTAATATGTAGGATACATTAAAAAACCCTAGAGAATATTTATATATAAACAGATAAACAGTCCTGGATACAACCAAGCATTGTACAGAGTGACCGAGGAATCAAACATTGTTTTAGCTGATAGTACGGTATATGCACCATAGTTATTGTAGTTATTGTTGCGAGTAGGGAAGGGTGTCATTCAATGTCGTATATTATGCAATTTTATTAGCTATGGAGCATTATTATATACGGTAAAAACCATACGTTTGCGAACTTTAAGTATTAGAAATGTTGTGCCTATCAAGTCTCTAGTCTCTTTCATCTTAGACGCTGTGATATAATTTCTGGCCGAAATACAATTCTCAAGTAGATAACAATTTGTAATGTGCCTATTTTGAGAGGGGTCAAACTGAAAATCAATCCAAAAAAAAGCTGCTTGGCAAAAAAATACTGCTACAATGTTGTAGGCTATTTATTAAATGGCTTGACAAGCTTTGAATATTAGAGCCCTGTACTATCTCATTGTAGGCTGAGCTATCTCGAAAAATGTAAGGTGTGACCTAATTTGAGGTGAGACGAGTATTACTTATTTTAAAATCTAATTTTGTCTTTCAACCTGAAATTTTGTGATAGTGCTTAAACACTTTTAGGTCACAGGTGAGACGTTTGGTTCGTTGTTTAACAATAGCTTGGTTTATTTACAATAAGATCCACCACACATACTACCCATTGACAATTGATACAAATAATGATTAGGATTCAATGGATGTGATGTGTATTAGGTTCCTAGGAAGGTTATTTCGCATTTCCGCAATACTCTCTAGCCCAAATGTCACGAGATATGTGCATGTGTTAATTTTTGTGGTGACGTGTTTCTTATGGAACCCCGAAATCTGATGGATCTTTACGGGCGCCTTTAACCAGAAAGTGGCAGAAATATTTTTAGTGGCTGTAATATGCTGAGACGTTTTCCATTTTCTTAATAGGTGCCTGCCACAAACCACCTTTGAACTAGTTTTCATAATTCTTTGTACTTAGAAAACAAAACTAAAGAAAAAAGAGAAAAATCTGTAAACTTTTTTTGAATCTATTGGTCCTCGCCGACAAGTTTTGTAAACTTGGCGAGGCCATGCTTGTAATATCCTAAATAAATATATTTGAATTTAAACACATTACAACTATTTGTGATGAATCTTCCAGATGTGGTGCACTTATAAGGTCTCTCCAGTGTGAATGAATTATTCATAAGTCTTTTCATATGACTGCTGGTTGGAAGGATTTTTCACTTGTGAGGTCGCTCTCTCGTGTGAACCAATTTATGTCTCTTTACATCTTCCTTGGATTTGAATGATTTTCCACATGTAGGGCACTGATGAGGTCGCTCTCCCCTGTGAACCAAAGTATGTTTCTTCATATCTCCCTTGGATTTGAATGATTTTCGACATGTAGGGCACTGATGAAGTCACTGTCCCGTGTGAACCAATGTATATTTCTTCATATATTCCTTGGATTTGAATGATTTTCCACATGTAGGGCACTGAAGAGGCCGCTCTCCTGTGTGAACCAATGTATGTTTCTTCATATATTCCTTGGATTTGAATGCTTTTCCACATGTAGGGCACTGATGAGGCCGCTCTCCCGTGTGAACCAATGTATGTTTCTTCATATTACCGATGGATATGAATAATTTTCCACATGTAGGGCACTGATGAGGTCACTCTCCCGTGTAAACAAATGTATGTTTCTTCATATATTCCTTGGATTTGAATGATTTTCCACATGAAGGGTACTGATGAGGCCGCTCTCCTGTGTGAACCAATGTATGTTTTTTCATATATTCCTTGGATTTGAATGATTTTCGACATCTAGGGCACTAATGAGGTCACTCTCCTTTGTGAACCAATGTATGTCTCTTCATATATTGCTTGGATTTGAATGATTTTCCACATGTAGGGCACTGATGAGGCCGCTCTCCCGTGTGAACCAAAGTATGTTTCTTCATATATCCCTTGGATTTGAATGATTTTCCACATGTAGGGCACTGATGAGGCCGCTCTCCCGTGTGAACCAAAGTATGATTCTTCATAACTCTCATGAATTTGAATGATTTCCCACATGTTGTGCACTGATGAGGTCGCTCTCCCATGTGAACCAATGTATGTTTCTTCATATTGCTGCTGTTTCGGAAGGATTTTCCACATGTTGTGCACTTATGAGGTCGTTCTCCTGTGTGAACCAATAAATGAAGCTTCATATTGCTGCTGGTTGAGAAGGATTTTCCACATGTAGTGCACTTATGGGGTCTATTTCCTGTGTGATTCAATGTATGTCTCTTCATATAGCTGCTGTTTCGGAAGGATTTTCCACATGTAGTGCACTCATGAGGTCGTTCTCCTGTGTGAACCAAGAAATGAAGCTTCATATAGCTGCTGGTTGAGAAGGATTTTCCACATGTAGTGCACTTATGGGGTCCATTTCCTGTGTGAACCAATGTATGTCTCTTCATATAGCTGCTGGTTGAGAAAGATTTTCCACATGTAGGGCACTTATGAGGTCGCTCTCCCGTGTGAACCAAAGTATGTTTCTTCATATCTCTCTTGGATTTGAATGATTTTCCACATGTAGGGCACTGATGAGGTCGATCTCCCGTGTGAACCAATGTATGTTTATTCATATCTCCCTTGGATTTGAAGGATTTTCCACATGTAGGGCACTGATGAGGTCGATCTCCCGTGTGAACCAATGCATGTATCTTCAAAAGGCTGGTGGTTTTGAAAGATTTTCCACATGTAGTGCACTTGTAAGGACACATCCCAGAATGTGTTAACAAATGATACTTTAGATGAGATATTTGATTAAATGTTTTCTTACATGTCAAACATCTAAAGGGACGCTCGCCTGTGTGTAAATATATATGATACTTCATACTCCTTATAGTTGAAAACATTTTTCTACATATTGGACAGTTAAGGAGACGCTTTTTAGTGATATTAAACATTTTATGTTTTATATTTCCGATTTCTAACATCAGGCAAGATGATACTACTCTGAATTATTCTGCTGGTTGTATATGTCTATTTTTGTAGAATTGGTTAGATGTTGAACAGTTAATTAGTGTATTAATAAAATGTGATCAGCTCTTGCTCAAAGATTGTTATGTGTATTAGACATCATACCACATAGGTTACTTGAGGCATTTTGCTTTTATGTCTTGACTCTATGTTCCATCCAGTTAAATTAGCCTACTCAAGAAATCGTTGTCTTCACCATGTTGCTTTCAAACAATGTTGGTTGCATCAGTCATATAAAAGTTATGAATAATTTAAATTAAAGATTTACAAAGTAAATCACTTACTTTAATCAGTAAATTGTGTGTAGTAAAAACTAAATGTTTTTAGCTTCTGTTTAATGTATAACATCTTATTCTGTAAATTATCTTTTTGTGACATGGAGTTGATGTTCCTTTTTCTCTTCAAATCTTTTGCCTAGGCCTATTCTGAAAAAGACCATAATTTATTAATTATATACAGTTGTAAAACATTTAGGTAATTCTTTGTTTAAATTTAGAATCATAAAAGCAATTAAAATTTATATAATCTAAATAAGTATGGTACCAGGTGTCCATAAAATATTAATCTTGAATCAAGATCAATAATTGATCAAGGAACCTCTTTAATTACCTATATTTTCTTATATCAGGTCTTTTGCAAAATTCGATCAGGTAATACAAGTCGAGGATTTGAGCAACAATTTGGATAAAAATGATCACCTCTTATACTCCGTTCACAACATTTAGGCGGTTTGAGGGGAAGTTCCCAGACTTTTTTTTTTTTTGCTTAATATATATGGCTCAGCTGATTTATGCTTTGTTTTGGTAATGCTCAGCTGAAGGTTTTGATTTTTGATAAGTTTATAAGGAGGGGGGGGGGGAAATTTCTTCCCCAATAACCGCCTAAATTTTGTGAACGCACTATAGTTATACAATATTGAAGTGATGATAACTATTAATGTGTGATATTCACAAGCTGTTAAATCACACCAAGCTTGCAATATCCTGGAATGAACATGTAAATTATTTGTCTACTAGACTATCTCGAGTAATTTTTCTTCTTGGTCGTCTCAAAGATGTAATTCCAAAGAACTATTTGAGATCGGCTTATTTTATATATTTTCAGTCTGTAATGAGATATGGATTGATATTCTGGGGTGGGTGTGGAAGAATCAATGAAATTTTAATCCTACAGAAGGGGGCTATCACAGCTATGAATGGATCAGAGCCAGACGAGCACTGCAAGCCTCTTTTTAAGGATTTTAAGATTCAAACTGTAATAAATTTGTTTATTTATGATCTTGCCCTTTATATCCTAAAAAAAACCCCATCACCTAAAATTCAATAATCATAATCACAATACCAGATTTGAAAATAGTGCCTTGTTAGAATCACATCGTCTGAGTAAGACTAGCAAGAGCCACATAGTGTTATCAACTAAAGTATATAACCTTTTAAAACACAATATTAATGCTTATCCGCAAGAAAAATTCAAGTCCTTGTTTTATAATTGGCTATTAGACAACCCTTCTTATAGCCTGGACGATTTGTTCAAATCTTGCCAAATAAAATCTTTGATTGTTTAACCCTGCTGCTAACCTGTTGCTTTATCAGGTCCTTATATTGTTGTTTGTTTAGTAATGTGTACATATTTTAGTTATTAAGCCCTATTGTTTTTTCAAAATATTGAAAGTGTTTTTAATTTTGTTTTGTTTGACGATTGATGTAAAATCATGATTTTGACTTTGTCGATGATCTAATGTATCCTTATGACAAATAAAGATTCTTATTATTATTATTAACAGTCAATCTAGCCTCACTTCCTGTGCTATACAACTAACCTAACCTGGATCTTGGAATACTATGACAAAAGTGGAAACCAGTACCTTCACTCATTAATCCTTTGCCAAAAAACCCAAATCTGCAATAATTTTCAATTGGCAAAAAATCTGCACAGTCCACCTTACAAATCACGGGACATTTCAATGACATCAATCATTTTGACACTCCATTGCAGACAAAGTACGAGAGATATTATGTGCATGCTCCCATAACTGCATGTGTGCTTAGTTTATGAAAGCTCTGATACTAAAATATTGGTGTTAGCGCCGTCTCAAGCACACTAATGCTAAACGTCTGTTACTTTCTAGTCTATCCTCCCCTCCCAAATAATTATTTAATTTGTCTTATTTTTGTACAGAATACGAGTGGTCTTGTCAAGTCTGCAATTACACAATAGCTCAATTCAATAAAACTCATGTATTATTTGTACTATTCCCTGCCTTTGTTGAGCTAAGCATATATTTCCTATGGAATAAAGATTATTGGGAGAATGGTGTGAGGTTAAGAAGAGAAAAAACACTTGGTTTGGTATGTAGATTTAGGTTCAAATACAATACTTAAATGAAGTAAAACACTGATGAAGTTAACACCTTTTAATTTTCACTAGTAGTAAAAAAATTAACACTCACAAAAATAACATATCAGTTTGTTCATGTGATTATATGATGTATGTAATAATTAATACCAAAATTATCAAGATTTTGCATGGATTCAGTACATTAATCAACCTCTCATTTTCAATAAAAATATAATACAGTACATTACAAATATTTAAAAAATCTACACTAAATACAATTGTTTTATTACCTGTACAGTTGATGAGTTTTACTGAAATGCCTTAAAAGCCAGTCCAGTTACTCAGAGGTACAATTAATTCACCACCCAAAAATAATATAATATATTCATGAAAATTTACACAAAATGGAAAAATTAACAAAATCTTAACATTAGTGGGTTTTCTGTATCTGAATGAAAATTTTGAAACAAAATTTAAAAAAAAAACAATTTAAAAAAATTTTTGTTCCGTTTTTGAAATTTTTATTTTTTTTTATTTTATTAACATTTGAAGTTTTATAAAATGTCCATGGTAACGCAATATCTTTGGTGATTTTTTATTAATAGAGCATCTTTGATGGAAAAACACAAAATTTTGTCACAACCATCACGGACATAAAATTGAATGTTAATATTATTTTTATAACTATGTTTTGTTATAAATTAATTTACTTTTAGGGCCATTATACAATAAACAGCTCACTAAGCTTTTAGTATATTTGGTCTTTCTAGAAAAAAATAAAAAAACTCCAAAAACTGAAAAAGAGCCAATAAAATCTTTTTAAGTTTGCATAACTCCGAAAAAACTTACCTCAGACCCAAAAAATCGTTATGTTTTATAGAGGTGTGCTTCATTTGTGTATAAAACATTGAAACAATATGATGATATTTTAATTTTTGAAATTTATACGATAGAAATCATAAACGTGATGGTCAGGAACAAGCAATACGGTCGTGAATTGTCTGGAATAATCTAAATCTTTCTAAACAATCCTTCAATTATACTGTTAGTTATACCTAATAAAAATATGTGTTTCAATTTTACAATGACATTTAAGTTATTGTCACGACCAAACACAGTGTAATCCATAAGGTTGGATTGGTCGTGAAAAAAACCTGCGATGGTCGTGACATTACATGTTATTTGGCTCTGTTCTGGCGGTAGCCCTGCACCTCATGTTCGAGGATACAAAGTGGACTTCTAGGTTAATCTAGCAATTGAAATATCTTATAAACAAAAATTAACACCATGTCTACTTCATCAAATGACTACGTACGGTCATGGACACACCAAAATTACAAAAAACACAAACTTGCCTTTATTAATCTTGTAGTTCATCCTTTCAACTCGAAACGACCGGCACTACAATCCTGACGTACACCCCAAACTAGTCTCTAAAACCAACTGACTCCATCGAAGCCAGGCTTACCACTGTCGTGCTCCAAAGTTGCAAATTTTTCCCTAATGGTCATTCCAAACATGTTTTCAATCATTGGGAAAATCTTCGATTGTGTAATACAATACAAAATAATACAAGTGCAGATCCGTTACGATGGACCTCCCTTTGAACTTAGAACGTGTCTTCTCAACAAACAGATATTTTTTCTCAAATAAAACCATAGATTATTCTTTATTACACTGATGAAATCGCGGAAGTTTTTAACCATTAAAGATCCACCAATACAATTTTAATACTATTTAAAGGTTCTTCCAAAAGAAGAGATACCAGGGGTGTCATTCAATGTTGTATATTATGCCATTTCATTAGCCACAGAGCATTATTAGATAGTAAAAACCATACGTTTGCGAACTATAAGTATTAGAAATGTTGTGCCTATCAAGTCTCTTTTGTCTTTTGTAGTCTATTTCATCGTAGACGTTGTGATATAATTTCTGGCCGAAATACAATTCTCAAGTAGATAACAATTTAAAGAAAAGGGAATCAATAGGAAAAAGAAGCTGCTTGGCAAAAAAAATACTGCTACAATGTTGTAGGTTATTAAATGGCTTGACAAGTTTTAAATATGCATGTGTTGATGTGCTTTAACGACCCAAAACCCGTCAAGGGGTAAAAATCATCTCTCGTGTGAACCAATGTATGTCTCTTCATAACTTCCTTGGATTTAAAGGATTTTCCACATGTAGAGCACTTATGAGATCGCTCTTCCATGTGAACAAATGTATGTTTCTTCATATCTTCCTTGGATTTGAATGATTTTCCACATGTAGAGCACTAATGAGGTCACTCTCCTTTGTGAACCAATGTATGTCTCTTCATATTTTCCTTGGATTTGAATGATTTTCCACATGTAGGGCACTGATGAGGTCGCTCTCCCGTGTGAACCAATGTATGTTTCTTCATATTTTTGCTGTTTTGGAAGGATTTTCCACATGTTGTGCACTGATGAGGTCGCTCTCCCGTGTGAACCAATGTATGTCTCTTCATATTTTCCTTGGATGTGAATGATTTTCCACATGTAGGGCACTGATGAGGCCGCTCTCCCGTGTGAACCAATGTATGTCTCTTCATATTTTCCTTGGATTTGAATGATTTTCCACATGTAGGGCACTGATGAGGTCGCTCTCCCGTGTGAACCAATGTATGTTTCTTCATATTTTTGCTGTTTCGGAAGGATTTTCCACATGTTGTGCACCGATGAGGTCGCTCTCCCGTGTGAACCAATGTATGTTTCTTCATATCTCCCTTGGATTTGAATGATTTTCCACATGTAGGGCACTGATGAGGTCGCTCTCCCGTGTGAACCAATGTATGTCTCTTCATATTTTCCTTGGATTTGAATGATTTTCCACATGTAGGGCACTGATGAGGTCGCTCTCCCGTGTGAACCAATGTATGTTTCTTCATATTTTTGCTGTTTCGGAAGCATTTTCCACATGTAGGGCACTGATGAGGTCGCTCTCCCGTGTGAACCAATGTATGTCTCTTCATATTTTTACTGGTTTGGAAGGATTTTCCACATGTAGTGCACTTATGAGGTCCATTTCCTGTGTGAACCAATGTATGTTTCTTCATATCTCCCTTGGATTTGAATGATTTTCCACATGTAGTGCACTTGTGAGGTCGCTCTCCCATGTGAACCAAAGTATGTTTCTTCATATCTCCCTTGGATTTGAATGATTTTCCACATGTAGTGCACTTGTGAGTTCGCTCTCCCGTGTGAACCAAAGTATGTTTATTCATATCTCCCTTGGATTTGAATGATTTTCCACATGTAGGGCAGTGATGAGGTCGATCTCCCGTGTGAACCAATGCATGTATCTTCAAAAGGCTGGTGGTTTTGAAAGATTTTCCACATGTAGTGCACTTGTAAGGACACATCCCAGAATGTGTAAACAAATGATACTTTAAATGAGATATTTGAATAAATGTTTTCTCACATGTCAAACATCTAAAGGGACGCTCACCTGTGTGTAAATATATATGATACTTCATATTCCATATAGTTGAAAACATTTTTCTACATATTGGACACTTAAGGAGACGCTTTTTAGTGATATTAAACATTTTATGTTTTATATTTCCGATTTCTAACATCAGGCAAGATAATACTACTCGGAATTATTCTGTTGGTTTTATATGTATATTTTTGTAGAATTTGTTACATGTTGAACAAGTTAATAAGTGTATCAATAAAATGTGATCAGCTCTTGCTCAAATATTGTTTTGTGTATTAAATATGATACAACACAGCTTACTTGAGGCATTTTGCTTTCTTGTCTTGACTCTATGTTTCATCCAGTTAAATTAGCCTACTTAAGAAACCTGTGTCTTCACATGTTGTTTTCAGACAATGTTGCATCAGCCATATAAAAGTTATGAATAATTTAAATTCAAGATTTACATAGTAAATCACTTACTTTAATCAGTTAATTGTATGTAGTAAAAACTAAATGTTTTTAGCTTCTGTTTAAAGTATTACGTCTTTCTGTAAATTATCTTTCTTGTGATATGAATTGAAGTTCCTTTTTCTCTTCAAATCTTTTGCCTATTCTGAAAAAGACCATAATTTATTAATTTAATTACAGTAAGTATCATGGTAATGGTGTCTATAAAAAATTCATCGGTAATCAAGACCAATAATTGATCTAGGAACCTCTTTAAATATTTTTGTTCATATGTTAAATCTTTAACCAAATTCGACCAGGTAATACAAGTGGAGGATTTGAGCAACAGTTTTGATAAAAATGAAGACCTCCTATTCTCTGTTCACAACATTTAGGCAGTTTGATTGGAAGTTTACAGACTCCATTTAGCGAATTTCCCTATAGGGAAGTAGCTATTCCCGTAGGTGGCCTGGTAAGACCTAGGCCCGGACCGATTTACTTTTTCATTTTGATGTTCCCAGAGGCCAAAAACACCATTCGTTCAAACTTATATATATATATGTGTGTGTCCGTGAATGCGAAACTTGAGTAATTATTGTCTGATTTTTATGAAATTTGATTTAAAGGTGTAAAGCGGGATATACTTGAATGAGTTCGTGAACCAGCATGATCGGACCATGGGAATGGGGTTTTACAAGGGGTTTTATGGGGTAAAAATTGGTTTTTCTCATTTTTAACCTTAAAAACACAAAATTTCCCAATTTCTACAAATAATTTAGTATATCAAAATATTTTTGTACGGTTATTGGTAAAGGAGAAAATCCAAAAAATTGTAAATATAAAATTCCCATTTTATTCTTATGGAGAATATTGTAAAATGTTGTAGTTTGCTTGTTTATGGATATAATTTGATCAAACATGGCAAATTTATTTATTTTATACTAAGCTATTAATATTTTGCAAAAAAAAATTATAGTTTCCTTGTAGCAGCAAAAGTAGGTGCTCGTTAAACCTAATGTAATTTAAATATATTTAATTGTAAAATCAATTCAGACAAATGGAAATTCGCTTAGTCGGCAGGATTGCTGCGGCGAGGGTATTTTTGCTATATATTGCCATAGATAAATAGAATAAATATAGACCATCAGCTGTGCTGCGGTGAGCATAAGTTCTGACGTCCACCGCTAGGTTTGCCGTGTAGTTACGGCGCACACCGCTGCAGCATCTGCAGGTCACATACGGCTCCTGCGCCCCTCGCCTGCAGCGGTGTGCGCCGTAACTACACGGCAAACCTAGTGGTGGGCGCCGGTACCTTCCTTTGAGAGTCTATATTTATTCTATTTGTCTATGATATGGCTCAGCTGAATTATGTTTTGTTTTGGTAAACCTATGCTCTTGAGCTTATTATTTTATAGGAAGGTTTTGATTTTTTAGGGTTATAAGAGGAGGTAGATTTTTTCCCAATAACCGCCTACATTTTGTGAACACAGTATAGTTATATCAGGTACCAACAATATTGTATTGAAGTGATGACAACTACTAATGTATGATGCACACAAGCTTATCAATCACACCAAGGTTACAAAACTAAACCAATCCTCACTTCCTATACAATACAATTAACCTAACCTAGATCTTGCAATATTACCACACAAGTGGAAACCAGTGCCTTCACGCATTATTCCTATGCCATAAAAGAAATCCAAATCTGCAATAATTTTCAATTGGCAAGAACAATTTTGCAAACAAAAATATACATGGAGCCCTCCACACAAACCACCAGACAGTGCTATGACATCAATCATTTTAACACTCCATAGCAGACAAAGTATGAGAGATATTATGTGCATGCTCCAATAGCTGGATTCCAACGCAATATGTAGATTTAGGTTCAAATACAATACTTTAATGAAGTAAAACACTGAAGCAGTTAGTACCTTTTAATTTTCACTAGTAGTACAAAAATTAACTAACACTCACAAAAATAACATATCAGTTTGTTTATGTGATTATATGATGCATGTAATAATTTAATATTGTAGGTTTATCCACCAAGATTATTAAGATTTCGCATGGATTCAGTACATTAATCAACCTATCATTTTCATTAAAAATATAATATAGTACATTACAAATATTTAAAAAATCTACACTAAATACAATTGTTTTATTAACCTGTACAGTTGATGAGTTTTACTGAAATGCCTTAAAAGCCAGTCTAGTTACTAAGAAGAGGTAGAATTAATTCACCACCCAAAAATAATGTAATATATTCATAAAAATGTACACAAAATGGAAAAATCTACAAAATCTTGACATAAGTGGGTTTTCTATATGTATGCAATACACAATAATAAGATAGTCAAGATAGTAAATAAGATTACAGTTTCATTTGTAATATGTAGGATACATTAAAAAACCCTAGAGAATATTTATATATAAACAGATAAACAGTCCTGGATACAACCAAGCATTGTACAGAGTGACCGAGGAATCAAACATTTTTTTTTAGCTGATAGTACGGTATATGCACCATAGTTATTGTAGTTATTGTTGAGAGTAGGGAGGGGTGTCATTCAATGTTGTATATTATGCCGTTTTATTAGCTATGGAGCATTATAAACGGTAAAAACCATACGTTTGCTAACTATAAGTATGTGCGAAATGTTGTGCCTATCAAGTCTCTTTTGTCTTTTGTAGTCTCTTTCATCTTACACGTTGTGATATAATTTCTGGCCGAAATACAATTCTCAAGTAGATAACAATTTAAAGAAAAGGGAATCAATAGGAAAAAGAAGCTGCTTGGCAAAAAAAATACTGCTACAATGTTGTAGGTTATTAAATGGCTTGACAAGTTTTAAATAGGCATGTGTTGATGTGCTTTAACGACCCAAAACCCGTCAAGGGGTAAAAATCCAATTAAAGTTTTATTTGTGCGGGTTAAACCGCGCCTGCGTTGACAACGGCATCGAAGGAGCAGGCCTACGTCATTGTAGAGGGGAGGACGCTAGTTAGCTACCCCGCCGTCAGAAAAGGAGACCTCATGATCAATTGCCTACCCGCTACCGACTCGACGACAAGTTTATTATTTTTATTTTACCGTGCCGTAGTCACACACGCTTTTTCACGTACGAGCACACCACCTTATGTCTTTAACCAGCTTTGGAAATCAGTTAAGTTGCCAGAACGATATAAGTAGAATTTATTCATTTACCCCGGACAGGTTTACATTAATTTGATCTAAGAAACCCCGTATCGACTCTGGTGTTTGACCGAGTCTAATTTTCCCGACACGTTTACTTTGGTGATAGCAAGTTCAACGTTTTAGTTAATTTTATAATTTACTAAGTTTATTCGCGTTCACGTTAGTTTATTCAAAATTCCAAATTTAACTTAACATATATTTCATAAATTAATGTATGAAACAACATATTGCAAATATTTGTGATGGATCTTCCAGATGTGGTGCACTCTGTAGGTCCCTCTCTAGTGTGAATTAATTATCCATAAGTCTCTTCATATGACTGCTGGTTTGGAAGAATTTTCCACTTGTGAGGTCGCTCTCTCTCTCTCGTGTGAACCAATGTATGTCTCTTCATAACTTCCTTGGATTTAAAGGATTTTCCACATGTAGAGCACTTATGAGATCGCTCTTCCATGTGAACTAATGTATGTTTCTTCATAACTTCCTTGGATTTGAAGGATTTTCCACATGTAGAGCACTTATGAGGTCGCTCTCCTGTGTGAACCAATGAATGTCTCTTCATATTTCTGCTGGTTTGGAAGGATTTTCCACATGTAGAGCACTTATGAGGTCGCTCTCCCAAGTGAACTAATATATGTTTCTTCATAACTTCCTTGGATTTGAAGGATTTTCCACATGTAGAGCACTTATGAGGTCGCTCTCCCATGTGAACCAATGTATGTTTCTTCATATCTTCCTTGGATTTGAAGGATTTTCCACATGTAAAGCACTTATGAGGTCGCTCTCCTGTGTGAACCAATGTATGTCTCTTCATATTTATGCTGGTTTGGAAGGATTTCCCACATGTAAGGCACTCATGAGGTCGCCCTCCTGTGTGAACCAATAAATGAAGCTTCATATAGCTGCTGGTTGAGAAGGATTTTCCACATGTAGTGCACTTATAAGGTCGCTCTCCTGTGTGAACCAATGTATGTCTCTTCATATTTCTGCTGGTTTGGAAGGATTTCCCACATGTAGTGCACTTATGAGGTCGCTCTCCTGTGTGAACCAATAAATGAAGTTTCATATGGCTGCTGGTTGGGAAGGATTTTCCACATGTAGGGCACTGATGAGGTCGCTCTCTCGTGTGAATTAATGTATGTCTCTTCATACTTCTGTTGGTTGGGAATGATTTTCCACATGTTGTGCACTTATGAGGTCGCTCTCCTGTGTGAACCAATAAATGAAGTTTCATACGGCTGCTGGTTGGGAAGGATTTTCCACATGTAGGGCACTGATGAGGTCGCTCTCCCGTGTGAACCAATGCATGTTGCTTCATATTGCTGCTGTTTCGGAAGGATTTTCCACATATAGTGCATTTATGAGGTCGCTCTCCAATGTGAACCAATTCATGTCTCTTCATAAGGCTCCTGGTTTTGAAAGATTTTCCACATGTAGTGCACTTGTGAGGTCGCTCTCCCGTGTGAACCAAAGTATGTTTATTCATATCTCCCTTGGATTTGAATGATTTTCCACATGTAGGGCAGTGATGAGGTTGATCTCCCGTGTGAACCAATGCATGTATCTTCAAAAGGCTGGTGGTTTTGAAAGATTTTCCACATGTAGTGCACTTGTAAGGACACATCCCAGAATGTGTTAACAAATGATACTTTAGATGAGATATTTGAATAAATGTTTTCTCACATGTCAAACATCTAAAGGGATGCTCACCTGTGTGTAAATATATATGATACTTCATACTCCTTATAGTTGAAAACATTTTTCTACATATTGGACAGTTAAGGAGACGCTTTTTAGTGATATTAAACATTTTATGTTTTATATTTCTGATTTCTAACATCAGGCAAGATGATACTACTCTGAATTATTCTGCTGGTTTTATATGTCTATTTTTGTAGAATTGGTTAGATGTTGAACAGTCAATTAGTGTATTAATAAAATGTGATCAGCTCTTGCTCAAAGATTGTTATGTGTATTAAATATTTTACCACACAGTTTACTTGAGGCATTTTGCTTTTATGTCTTGACTCTATGTTCCATCCAGTTAAATTAGCCTACTCAAGAAATCGTTGTCTTCACCATGTTGCTTTCAAACAATGTTGGTTGCATCAGTCATATAAAAGTTATGAATAATTTAAATTCAAGATTTACATAGTAAATCACTTACTTTAAACCGTAAATTTTGTGTAGTAAAAATTACATGTTTTTAGCTGCTGTTTAAAGTGTTACATCTTATTCTGTAAATTATCCTTCTTGTGATATGAATTGAAGTTCCTTTTTCTCTTCAAATCTTTTGCCTATTCTGAAAAAAACCATAATTTATTGAATATATACAGTTGTTGTAAACATTTAGGTATTTTTTTGTTCAAACTTAGAATCATAAAAGCAATTAAAATTGATATAATCTAAATAAGTATGGTACCGGGTGTCCATAAAATATAAATCTTGAATCAAGATCAATAATTGATCAAGGAACCTCTTTAAGTATATTTTCCTATATCAGGTCTTTTGCAAAATTCGATCAGGTAATACAAGTCGAGGATTTGAGCAACAATTTGGTTAAAAATAATCACCTCTTATACTCCGTTCACAACATTTAGGCGGTTTGAGGGGAAGTTCCCAGACTCTCTTTTTGTTTAATATATATGGCTCATTCTGATTTATGCTTTGTTTTTGTAAAGCTCAGCTGTTGAGCTCATTATCTTATAGGAAGGTTTTGATTTTTGATAAGGTTATAAGGGGGGGTAGATTTCTTCCCCAATAACCGCCTAAATTTTGTGAAAGCAGTATAGTTATAGTAGGTACCAACAATTTATTGAAGTGATGATAACTATTAATGTATGACTAGTGTACACGTTGCTCGAAATCGAGCATTTGCAAAGAAGTAAAGTAGTTATTTAAAAACAAATAATAGTCATCATAATTTCCGATGAGTTTAAAGGACTCAACTCATAGATTACGTACCTAACAGTTCCATATAATCAACATTTCTTGTAAATATTTTATCATTTTTCAAAAGCTGATCTGGTTTTTTAAATGTTTCCCACTTATAGCCGTATTAGGTTGTCCATGTTGATCTTTGTCAATGATGTAGTCTGCATGGTACCGCCCATTGTCGCCAGTACGTTTACAAATTTCAGTAAATTTTTTATAGCGATAACATATTGTTTACATGACTAAGAACTACCTGATTTTCTGCATAACCTCTCCGAAAGGCCGAATGTCGTTCAGATGGTTTTTTGTTTCCCTTAGGCATAAATGTGAATAATACTGTGAATAATGTGAATCCTCAATGAAAGTTTTATTAAGGTTTCTTGGATGTAGTCACATTCTTTTAAAATCAATTGAATTTTATGAAAACATATATTTAATGATTAATGTCCTTGACGAACCAGTTTAATTCAGACTTAGAGGGGTTTCCTTTGACAATCATCATAAAGTTAAGTCCACAAAATAGTAGTACTTCGGCTAACATCTTTGTTCATTGTTTGTGGGACTCTTCATATTGTAGCTGTAGGTGTTCTTCATTATATAGGATGATAACAATAGAAAATGTTTTTTTTTTTATCTCTATTTTTCTTATACTTGGTGGCGTTCTATGACTTTTCTATGTTTCCATGGTTAAAAAATCGGTCCTTTCAGTGATTGCTCAGAAATACAGTACTATGTCAATTCATTTTTCTTTTTTGGTAAAATATATCAAATTGCCTAGGCTTTCTCGATTTTTTACATTGTAATATGTACGAATGTAAATTAAAGTAGTAAATATTTAATTTCAACAAAATCAGTAAATGTACCCAATGCGTTTTGTTGAATTGAAAAATAAATAACAGCAATTAAATTATACAGCTGATCAAAATGTAAACAATTATGTTATTCATAAGGATAACATGGGAACTTTCAAAGCCACTGGGGCAGAGCCCAAGGGACTTTTTCAAAAATGTAAGGTCATTTTGCAAATCTACGCAACACGCTCTTTCCAATGAGACGTCAATGGATAAAATCGGTTAAGACATTTCTTAACCAAACATTTCTTCGCCATTGCGTAGGAGTTTAAAAAACAAAGTTTCATGTAGCGTATTAATTATATAGATATTTACAAACTTATCAATCACACCAAGCTTACAAAAGTCAATCTAGCCTCATTTCTTGTGCGATACAACTAACATAACCTGGATCTTGGAATACTACGACAAAAGTGGAAACCAGTGCCTTCACTCATTATTTCTTTGCCAAAAAAACCCAAATCTGCAATAATTTTCAACTGGCAAACAAATTTTGCAAACAAAAATCTGTACAGTCCACCTTACAAATCACGGGAAATTGCAACGACATCAATCATTTTGACACTACATTGCAGACAAAGTACGAGAGATATTATGTGCATGCTCCCATAACTGCGTGTGTGCTTAGTTTATGAACGCTCTGATACTAAAATATTGGTGTTAGCACCGTCTCAAGTACACTAAACGTCTGTTACTTTCTAGACTGCCCTCTGCTCCCAAATAATTATTTAATTTGTCTTATTTTTGTACAGAATATGAGTGGTCATGTCAAGTCTGCCATTAAACAATAGTGCAATACAATAAAACGTATCTCATGTATTATTTGTACTATTTCCTACCATTGTTGAGATAAGCATACATTTTCTATGGAATCCTTATATAATAAGTGAAGGAGATTTCTACAAAACACTTCTCTTCTGTTAATAATGAACGTATATTTACAAACAATGTGTCAAAATTAAGTATTTTTTGTGTAGTCGTCCCCTTTCATCAATTCCTGTTATAAAAGTTCTCCGGCTGACAATACAGCCCGATTTTGATGGCCCATGAAAACAAGATTTTGTTTAATTAGACGAATAATTTTGTATTAATTGCATAATAAAACAGCTGTTCCTAGTAAACACGTGTCATCTTTTGATACACACAAGAGTGTTCGTTTTCAGTTTTGATTACTGGAATGGAGTGATTGATTATATTATCTTTGAGTTGACTCTTTTAAGTCATCGGAAATTATGATTGTAATTCGTTTTGAAATAACATCTGTAATACTTTGCAATTGCTCAAATTCGAGCAAAAGGTGCACTATTTGAAATATTTTTGGTGGAGTTTTCGACGACCTCTAGTAAAAATCATTAGGTGAATTGCTTGCGGTTAGGAAGAGGAATTATCAATAGATAGGTAGATTAAAGATCAAGTACAGTACTTAAATGAAGTCAAACACTCAAAGCAGTTAATACCTTTAATTTTCTCTAGTCGTATACAAATTAACAAACAAACAAAAAATAAATACAACAGTTTGTTTATGTTGTATGTGAGACATGTAATTAATATTGTAGGTTTATCCTAATTCAATATTTCATGTGGATTGAATGTGGGTTGATTATACATTAATCAATCTTTCATTTTCATTAAATATATTTAATGAAAATGAAAGATTGATTAATGTATATATACAGTATATATATATGTATATATACGACTGTATATATACAGTAAAAATATTTTATAAATCTACAATACATAGGCTACATTTTTTAATAACCTATACAGTTCATGTGTTTTGCTGAAATGCTGTAGGTACTAAGGTACAATTCATTCAAAACCCAAAAATATATTTATAAAAATGTATATAGAATGAAAAATTAACAAAGGCTTAATATTAATGGGTTTTCTGGATCAAGACAATACACAATAATAAGACAATAGCACTGGAAAGTACCCTGACATTTTATATAAGTGTTCTGAGATATAATCTCAATCTGTGATATAATTTATAGCTACTGTGATAATTTTGTGTATTAGTTTAAGGATTTTTTGACGAATTCAATTACAATATTGTATTGTTTAGAGATGGAATAAATGACTATTCATTGACTATTCATGGAGATTGATTGATTGATTCTGATGGGCTTTTTGCGCTCCCCAGTCATGGAGATTTAGACAGTAAACACTATATGTTTTCTTACTATAAGTATGTGCAAAATGTTGTGCCTATCAGGGCAGCCTTTTTAGTCTCTTTCATCTTAGACATCATGATATAATTTCCACCCAAAATACAATTCTTAAGTAGATTAACAATTTAAGGAAAAGAGGATCAATCCGAAAAAAGAAGCTGCTTTGCGAAAATATAACTGTTACGACGTTGTAAGTTTTGAAACGGCTTGGCAAGCTTTAAATACGCAGGTGATGATGTGCTTAAACACTTTTAGGTTACAGGTGAGACGTTTAAAAAACATTACATGTACTTGGTTTATTTTCAATAAAATCCACCGCACATACTACCATTATTCCATATTTGGAAATTAACAATTTGTTCAATGAGAGTCAATTTGTATATCGAAGTGGGAGATCCACCACTCAAGCTGTAGACAATATTGTAAATCAACTATTGCATAGCTTAGAAAGCAACTGCTTCGCTCAGGTCACACTTTGTGACCTGAGTAAGGCATTTGATTGTGTCAGACAAGACATTTTAATTGAAAAATTGAAATTTTATGGTTTCAAAGGTATATAATGCCATTAGTATGTTTCAGTCATACCTTAAAGACGGATGTCAGATTGTTGAGGTAAAGGAAAGAGATAAAAAAAAGCAAGGTCAAAGGTCGGGGTACCACAGGGTTCGGTTATGGGTCCCATTTTGTTTTTAATTTTAATTAATGACATTAGTTTCAATTTGGCTTATAAGTCAACAATTTACACTGATGACACCTCTTTACTTGTTAGCCATAGAGATTTAGATTGTATGGAAAATGTTGCCTATTCTGTTTTTAAAGATGCTGAAGAATGGTTTACAGTAAATTGATTGTTTTAAAATTATCAAAAAACACAGAGACTATTGGTGACCTTGAAAAAGAATCATGAAAACCATCAATTTGTTCATGATTATGAAAATGTTGTAACATTACTTGGTATAAAATTATACTGTAAGCTGTCATGGTCTGACCATATTAATTTGATGAATAATAAATTGTCCAGAGTTGTACATTTGTTAATAAATCTAAAAAGACATGTTTCCAGTAAATACTTGAAAATGGCATATTTTGCTTTTTTTTGAAGTGTTATCAGGTATGGTTTGATGATCTGGGGTAACGGAGTTGGAATTGAAAAAATTTTAATAAATAAAATACCCCCGTAGCAGCAAACCTGCATACTAAGCGAATTTCCATTTACCCGGCTTGATTTCTACTAAAATATTCCCTAAAATTTACAGATTTATATCCTATTTAAATAACATTAATTTTAGTGAGTAGTTAGGTTTGCTGCTACGGGGAAGATGTTGAGATGTGTTTTTTCAATTGAAATATTGATAGCTTAGTATGAAATAAGCCAAATTGCCAAATTTGATTACTTAAAATATATCCATAAACAAGGAAACTAGAACAGTTTATTTATTCTCCATAAGAATAACATGGGAATTTTAAATTTACAATTTTTTGAATTTTCTCCGTAGTCAATGAACATTCAAAAAAACTTCAATATACTAAATTATTTGTTTTTTTAAGCTCTTCAAAATGGTCTAGAGAGAAATTTAGAAATTTAAAGTTTTTAGGGGCAAAAATGAGAAAAACCCATTTTTACCCCATAAAACCCCCCATAAACCCCTGATCCCATGGTCCGATTATGCTGGTTCGCGAACTCGTTCGAATAAATGTAGGTTTACACGTTTGTACCAAATTTCATCGAAATCGGGTCAATTTTGCTCGAGTTATCGCGCTAACGGACACATATATAAATATATATATATATATATAAATATATATAAATATATATATATAAATATATATACATGAATTTGAACGGATGGTGTTTTTGGCCTCTGGGGACCTCAAAACGAAAAAGTAAATCGGTCCCGGGTCAAGGTCTTACCATGAGACCTACGGTAATAGCTTATTCCCTATATGGGAAATTCGCTAAAAGCGGTTAGAGTTTTGACCGACTCAGAAAGGTTAGCCCGCTCTAGGCCACCTTTTGTCTCATCGGGGATCCTGACTATTGTTAACTTGTATATTTTGGAGGTATTGATGTTTGTCAAAATTAATTTAAATATGTTTTCTGTCAGAGAAGAAATACATGATTATGTGAACAGATTTAGGCATAAATTAGATAAACCAAAGTTTAGGTTAAGTAAATTGACGAATTATCATGTTAATTTAGGTGTAACATTTTTCAACAAGTTACCATTGCCTTTTCAGAGTTTGCCTCAAAAAGCATTTCATTGGATCATTCATCATTTCATTTCATTTGATTGTATAATTGGTTTTAACTGAACCCATTTTATACTCAGGATGAATTTTTAAATATTAAAATAGAGTCTTCAGGCCTAGCCTAATTTTAGATTTTAAACATTTAGACTTTTTTGTGATGTTAGCTCAATTTAATGTTTATCAATGTGAATCATATCTTACGATGCCTATTGCAAAATTTTGTAATTTTGTTGAATGTCTAATAAATGTCTTATTTGTCTTATTAACAATTGATACTACTTAGGATTAGGATTCAATGGATGTGTATTAGGTTCCTGAGAAGGATCATTTCGCATTTCCGTGGTATTCTGTAGCCCCAATGTCACGAGATATGTGCATGTGTGAATTTTTTGTGATGTGTTTCCCTAAAGGAACCCCCAAATCTGATGGATCTTTAAGGACTAAATAACCAGTGAGTAGGGGAAACATTTTTAGTGACCATGAAATGCTCAAGACATTTTTCATTTTCTTAAAGGTAGAATTTAAGAACTAAATCAAAATCGAATGAAATGAATGAACACATAATGAATGAAGTCATATTTAAGCTATTTTTGATGGATCTTCCAGATGCGGTGCACTCATGACTTATGAGGTCCCTCCAGTGTGAATTATTGAATGTCTCTTCAAATAGCGGCTGGTTTTAAAGGATTTTCCACATATAGTGCACTTATAAGGTCTCTCTTTGGTGTGAAGCAATGAATGTAGCTTCATATTGCTGCTGGTTTGGAAGGATTTTCCACATGTAATGCACTTATAAGGTCGCTCTCTCGTGTGAACCAATGTATGTATCTTAATATCTTGCTTGGATTTGAAGGATTTTCCACATGTAGTGCACTTGTGAGGTCGCTCTTCCGTGTGAACCAATGTATGAATCTTCATATTGCCCCTGCTTTTGAATGATTTTTCACATGTAGGACACTTATGAGGTCGCTCTCCCGTGTGAACCAATGTATGACTCTTCATATCTTTCTTAGTTTTGAAGGATTTTTCACATGTAGGGCACTTATGAGGTCGCTCTCCCGTGTGAACCAATGTATGAATCTTCATATCGCTGCTGGTTTTAAAGGATTTTTCACATGTAGGGCACTTGTGAGGTCGCTCTCCCGTGTGAATCAATGTATGAATCTTCATTTCTGTCTTGGTTTTGTAGGATTTTCCACATGTAATGCATTTATGAGGTCGCTCTCCTGTGTGATCTAATGTATGAATCTTCATATCTTCTTTGGTTTTGAAGGATTTTCCACATAAAGTGCACTTATGAGGTCGCTCTCCCGTGTGAACCATTGTATGAATCTTTATATGGCTGCTGGTTTGGAAGGATTTTCCACATATAATGCACAAGTAAGGTCGCTCTCCTGTGTGAACCAATGTATGAATCTTCATGTTGCTGCTGGTTTTAAAGGATTTTCCACATGTAGTGCACTTATAAGGACACTTACCAGAATGTGTCAATAAATGATTCTTTATTTGACTTAGTCCAAAAAATGTTTCCTCACATGACAAACATTTAAAGGGACGCTCGCCTGTGTGTAAACACATATGACACTTCATATTTGATAGAGTTGAAAACAATTTTCTACATATTGGACACTTAAGGAGAGACTTTTTGGTGCTCTTTAACATTTTTTAGTTTTCAATCTTTGACTCTTCTAACGTATCAGACAAGTTTGAAACTAATTGAAATTAGTCAGTTGGCTTTGTATATCTATTTAAATATGTCTATTTTTGTGGGGTTTGTTAAATGTTTAACTGTTATATATGTGTATCAAATAAATTTGATCAACTTTTGCCCAAGTACTGTATTAAATATCATACAACATAGCCTACTTGAGACATTTTGCTTTTTTGCTTAACTCTCAAGTTTCATCACTATAAACACACATATAAAAGAAAAATTGGCTTCTTCTTTATGTTTCATGTTGTTTTCAAATAATATTGCATCATTTATATGAAAGTAATGTATAATATAAATTCAAATTTACATAGTAAATTACTTACTTTAATTAGTACTTTTAGTGTTGTAAAAACAAAATCTTTTTAGCTGCTGTTTAAAGTATTACATCAGTTTATGTCAATTATATTTCTTGCGACAGGTATTGAAGTTCCTTTGTCTCTTCAAATTGTCTATTCTGAAAAAGACCATACAGTTAGTTGTTGTAAGTATTTAGGTAATTTTCTTGTTGAAATTTAGAATCATAAAAGCAATTGTAATGTATGTAATCTATATATTAATACGCAAGCAGTTTTCTTTTCACAGTCATAACTCGATAACGGCTTGACGGATTATAACGTTTGAGGTGTCAAATTAAAGGTATTTTCACTTATATGTGCAAATACGTCTTGGAATATTAAGAAAGGGCATCACTTAAGTACAGACAAGGGTAAAGTTTGGGAACGGCAGTGTTATCTGTTGACATTAGATCAAACTGTCAAACTCAATTCTCTTTGTTTACAACTAAACATATGAACGTAGTTTGATATAGTTAAGTTTAACCACAGACTGTAGGACTTATTACTTCCAGAGCAAAGCCGGAATTTTATATTTTTATTTAAATCTATTAACTAAGTCTGGTTCATAAATGAAGAGTTTCCTAGCAAGACCTGACAACAAATTGTTTGTAAATAGTTGAATTTATTTACCTTACATCATATTTTACTGAATTATCATGTAGTTTTGGTTACAGTTCGGTGTGATTATGTAAATGTTTGAATGTGATTATTCACAGTCACAGTGCAGTTACCCGTTACATTTCCATATTGTCATGTAATTTACAATGTGTATCAAAATTTCTTTGTAGTGTTTTCTGGTGATTGGTTAATTTTCATTTTTTATCTAAATTTAAAATTAAATGCCACCAGTAAGACTAAGAACTGTGAGTGGCTGGAGGGAACGCAAACGTGACCGCTTGCATCAACCTCCCAATTTGACAGATACAGAGTGGCAGTACCACCGTGGTGATACATCCAATCTCGGAGAAATAACCGTTAAATGTTTACATTGTGGTGGCTTACATTAGCAAGAAAAGACTGGCCGAGAGAGTACTCTTTGTAAATAAATGAAAGGTTCGTTTACCTTATTTGCGGAATTCACCATACTTTCAGGAACTACAGTAGAACCTCGATAGTTCGACAGTTTGTGGACTTAAGGGATGTCGAACTTTAAGGAGTAAATGGAATTTAATATACAGGAAAGTAGGAACCCATGTCTTATATAGAAATCACCCAAATTTATTAAATACTAAAAAGCTTAACAATTACACTGTTCATTAGTTAAGTCTCAAGTCAACAATAAATGACAAATAAATGTTCAAGTCAGCTTACATCACAATAGTAACCTTTAAATATCACTTGACAAAAAGTTCAGCTCGTGTCGAACTACAAAGAGTGTCGAACTATTGAAGGTTTACTGTAATTGGAAACTCTCAATCTGAAAACAGGGCTGTGAGGCTTCGATCTACAAATTATCTGGATAAAATTCATCAATTTAATTCCGCCTTTGCCTTGATCAGCTATGAAGCTCATTTTGACGAGAGGGTCACACAGGGGATCTACAATTTCAGGATCCATGACAAGTTTTGCCACCGAATAGGTAATCTAATTCCTCAAGGTCATGATCCTGAATACGCACAGATGACCATGAGCCACCAATATGAAACCCTCCCCCCCCATGGGAATTTATGACTTATACTTTTTTTTTGGTATTACCTACCAGATTAAGAATTCAGTTGTTTGCCTCTTTTAAATTACAGCGTATTCCGGAAAATAAAGAAAAACTGTTCAATTTAAAAACCGTTTTATTAAAATTACATAAGGGTAGCCTACGTTAATTACTGGTGAAATATTTTTTTATGGACTTCTTCAGTATATATTCAAAGGCTTCAAATGAAAATAAAAAAGTTAAAAAAAATACCCCCGCTGCAGCAAACCTGCAGGCAATGCGGATTTCAAATTGGCCTGAATTGATTTTCAATTAAATCTATTTAAATAACATTAGATTTAAAGAGTACCTCTAGGAAAGCAATTTTAAGAGATTCTAATTAAATTAAATAAATTTTATTTGAGACATTTTAGACGTAAATTTTACTGGAATGTAAGGTTCCAGTAAAATTAACGTCTAAAACTTCGTTTTCCTCGTATCAAAATCGGATTTGCGGCAATAATTTTATTTTTTTAAATCTCTTTAAAATAATGTGCCGATTGATATGGGTTGCAATTTAAAAAATTTCAACCCTGTTTGTGGGTGGGGGGTGAATTTCAAAATATCACCAAAAACAACCTTACATTACCCTAGAAACGTGTATTGAAGCTTGTTTGAATTTATGAATATTTGTGCTGAGACCATTCATTATTTAGCATGTTAACCCATTGTTCTTTATTTTTACCATTAGCTAGGATTTTTTTCCAATCCCGTGGGATCTTGATTTTGGACATCTCATTAAGAACGTTTCTCCAAATCCTCTTCTCTCTTTCAATGTTTTAATACTTACATCTAAATAGGTATCCGTAATAAAGTATATCCTGCTGAGTTTCGGAAAACGGCTGAAGGCAATCTGTGCTAGTTCACCAGAGGTTTCTGGAATATTAGTAAGAACCTAAAAGTAAGCCATACTGTCAATTACATACATACATTATTCAATCTTGAGAGGTTCGTCTATACCCTTGTTCTCCAAAGCATGGAGCAGTTTGGCCTTTTCTGTATTGGTTGGGCATCCATCGACAGTGGCTGATGCCCATGGTACTGGATCTAATGGGTATGTCATAAGCTTCTCAAGGTTAATATCACGTTCTTGGGACAGCAGTAAAACTCCAGAAAAATATTTTTTATTGCTCTTATCTCAACTAATCTGTTTGCATGCAGCTTTCCCTAGATTATCTACATTAAATAAGTTGTCTTCCACCGATTCGGGTACAGGTCTTCCAGCTGATAAACAGACCATCTAGGAATTCTGATCACAGTTTTCAACTTCAAGCAGAATAATGCATTGTTCAAAAGCATCAAGTACAGTACAGAGGTTGCTCACTTCGTTTCATTTCATTTGCTTGCATGTCACTGAGAACAATTTGATGACTTCACCATACTTGCATTTTTAAATTCTAACTTGCTGTGGGCCCGTTCTACGCACAGGAATCAACTAATCAAATAAAAAAAAAACTAAAAAATCTATACTAAAAGACCCATGCTGCACTGCGGCGTTAAAATAAATATCATATCCGAGAAATAATCAAATTGATTATTTTTTATTGTGTAATACAGTATCTTAAACTTAACTGATTCAAACGATCAAACGATCAATAGCTCAAATTAAAGCCTATAATTGACTGATTATTTTGAGTCTAAAACATATAAAAAAACTTAAACAATACTGGAGCTATTGATATTCAATCATAGAAAAACCTTATATTTTTTTTTATGTTGGATGTTCACCTTGCGTTTGCTTGAAAACCGTCCGATTTGAATAACTAATATCTTAAATGCAAGCCGGTATTTCACTGAAGGTTCTTAGACCAAAATATATAGGGTTATATAATTACAAATGGTAAAATACTGTACAATTTAAATTGAAATACGAATTAAAAAATATATCAAACCTATGTTTTTTGGTCGAGTAATAAAGTAGATAAATATACGATGATGCTTGATGTGAAATATATGTGTGCATACTACCAATTTAAGACCTCAATCATGAAGATCGGACGTGTAGAAGAGCCAAAGAAACTCGGAAAAGAAAAAAAAAACAAATTTAACCCCCTTTAGAAATACATGGGGGGTAAATTTAATTTACGTATAAGCCGAGTGGGACTGTTGATAAATATATACTGATGCTTGATGTGAAATCTGTGCGTGCATACCTTCAATTTGAGACCTCGATAATGAAAATCGGGTGGGTAGAAGAGCCAAACGAACTCGGAAAAGAAAAACCAAATTTAACTCCCATAAGAAATACATGGGAAAAAATGTTGTTTACGTATAAGCCGAGTGGGACTGTAGGCAACTATATGCCGATGCTTGATCGCTTGATGTGAAATCTGTGCGTTAATACCTTCAATTTGAGACCTCAATCATGAAAATCGGTCGGGTTGTAGAGCCAAACGAACTCGCTAAAGTAAAACCATTTTTTAAATATATATATTCATGATATTTTCGTGTTTTCCGGAACATGCTGTAATTCACAAGTGGCAAACACCTAAAACCTTAAAGTACATGTCAATACAAACAAAAAAATGTATATGTCGAAAATTCCCACGGGGGGGGGGGGGAGGGGGGTAAACGCCAGCCTCCGCTCTATAAGTACAACATTGGAACTGGAACCCAACAGCGCATGTAAAACAAACAAAAAATGCAATGAAAAAATATATGGGAAATAGAGTCACAATGCCAACCCATTTGCCAAATCTTTTAAAACTGTGGCAGACATTTTTTTTTTCTTTAAAGAGGTTGGCGGCCTCTTTCAACCTTGCATTTGCCCGTCCACATACACTATGCGCCCGTGCGTGGATCGTTTACAGCAAAGCAAGGAGTGTTAAGATGTCGACAAGATGGATTCGTATTTAGTAGTTATTAGTATTTAGATTAAATTAGTATTTATTTTTATAGTTGAGACCTAGGTTTCTACATCGAAACGTTATCAGTCCTATGTCTCATAGGCTAGCTAAACTTCTTGTTTGCCATCTCTTACTTGAGATATTGTCGATTTGGTATAATTTGTACAAACATTGATATGATATGTATGTGTATTAGTATGTGTCGAGGTATGCCTAGGCAATAGATTAAACGATTCCTTGGTGTAGATTAAAAATAGTGATGAATGTAAATCAGTTTGAATTTTATTTTAACTGTTAAGTGAGTTTAAGCATCACTGAATTATAGGTAATATAAACCATTTAATTCAATAAGTGATCCTGGGCCACTAAGCATAATGAAATATTATGTGCATGCTCCCATAACTGGATTTCAACGGTCTGATACTAAAATAGCGGCTGTCCTAAAGCATCGCCAATGCTTAACGCCTGTTACCTTCTGAACTGTCCTCCCCTCCAAAATAATTATTTAATTTGTCTTTATTTTTTTACAGAATACGAGTGGTCTTGTCAAGTCTGCAATTACACAAAAGCGCAATTCAATAAAACTTATCTCATGTATCATTTGTACTATTTCCTGCCTTTGTTGAGCTAAGCATAATATTTTCTATGGAATAAAGATTATTGGGTGAATGGTGTGCGGTTAAGAAGAGAAAATTATCACTTGGTTTGGTATGTAGATTTAGGTTCAAATACAATACTTAAATGAAGTAAAACAATGAAGCAGTTTGTACCTTTTAATTTTTACTAGTAGCACAAAAATTAACATGTTTATGTGATTATATGATGCATGTAATAATTAATATTGTAGGTTTATCCACCAAGATTATCAAGAATTTGCATGGATTCAGTACATTAATCAACCAATCATTTTCATTAAAAATATAATATAGTACATTACAAATATTTAAAAAATCTACACTAAATACAATTGTTTTATTAACCTGTACAGTTGATGAGTTTTACTGAAATGCCTTAAAAGCCAGTCTAGTTACTAAGAGTAGGTACAATTAATTCACCATTTAAAAATAATGTAATATATTCATAAAAATGTACACAAAATGGAAAAATCAACAAAATCTTGACATTAGTGGGTTTTCTGTATGTATGCAATACACAATAATAAGATAGTCAAGATAGTAAATAAGATTACAGTTTCATTTGTAATATGTAGGATACATTAAAAAACCCTAGAGAATATTTATTTATAAACAGATAAACAGTCCTGGATACAACTAAGCATTGTAAAGAGTGACCGAGGAATCAAACATTGTTTTAGCTGATAGTACGGTATATGCACCATAGTTATTGTAGTTATTGTTGAGAGTAGGGAGGGGTGTCATTCAATGTTGTATATTATGCCGTTTAATTAGCTATGGAGCATTATAAACGGTAAAAACCATACGTTTGCGAACTATAAGTATTAGAAATGTTGTGCCTATCAAGTCTCTTTTCAACACATAATGAATGAAAAATCATATTTAAGCTATTTGTGATGGATCTTCCAGATGTGTGTGTCTCTTCATATTTCCACTGATTTGGAATGATTTTCCACATAAAGTACACTAATAAGGTCTCTCTTTGATGTGAACCAATGTATGTTGTTTCATAGTTATTTTGTTTTTAAAGGATAGTCATGAGGTTGCTCTTCTGTGTGAAACAAAAAAATGAGTCTTCATCTCGCTGCTGGTTTGGAAGGATTTTGCACACGTAGTGCACTTATGAAGTCGCTCTTCTGTGTGAAGCAATAAATTAATCTTCATATTGTTCATGGTTTTAAAGGATTTTCCACATATTTATTTCATTGTGAATATTTCATTGTGTTATCTATTGATCTTGTGATCTTGAGGTCTCTCCAGTGTGATCTAATGCATGTTTCTTTAAACTGCTACTGAATCGGTAGGTTTTTCCACATGTAATGCACTTATGAGGTCGCTCTCCCGTGTGAACCAATGTATGAATCTTCATATTGCCGCTAGTTCGGAAAGATTTTCCACATGTAGTGCACTTATGAGGTCGCTCTCCAGTGTGAACCATTGTATGTTGCTTCATCATATTTTTGGTTTTGAAGGATTGTTCACATATAGTGCACTTATGAGGTCGCTCTTCTGTGTGAATCAATGTATGTTTCTTCAAACTGCTACTGAATCGGAAGGTTCTTCCACATGTAATGCACTTATGAGGTCGCTCTGCTGTGTGAATCAATGTATGTTTCTTCAAACTGCTACTATATCGGAAGGTTCTTCCACATGTAATGCACTTATGAGGTCGCTCTCCTGTGTGAACTAATGTATGAATCTTCATATTGCCGCTTGTTTGGAAGGATTTTCCACATGTAATGCACTTATGAGGTCGCTCCCCTGTGTGAATCAATATATGTTTCTTCAAACTGCTACTGAATCGGAAGGTTCTTCGACATGTAATGCACTTATGAGGTCGCTCTCCTGTGTGAATCAATGTATGAGTCTTCATACTGCTGCTAGTTCGGAAAGATTTTCCACATGTAGTGCACTTATGAGGTCGCTCTCCAGTGTGAACCATTGTATGTTGCTTCATCATATTAATGGTTTTGAAGGATTTTTCACATATAGTGCACTTATGAGGTCGCTCTTCTGTGTGAATCAATGTATGAGTCTTCATACTGCCCCTGCTTTGGAAGGATTTTCCACATGTAATGCACTTATGAGGTCGCTCTTCTGCGTGAATCAATGTATGAGTCTTCATACTGCCCCTGGTTTTGAAGGATTTTCCACATATAATGCACTTATGAGGTCGTTCTTCTGTGTGAATCAATGTATGAGTCTTCATACTGCTGCTGGTTTGGAAGGATTTTCCACATGTAGTGCACTTATAAGGTTGCTCTTCTGTGTGAACCTTTGTATGTCTCGTCATTAGATTAATGGTTTTAAAGGATTTTCCACATATAATGCACTTATGAGGTCGCTTTTCTGTGTGAATCAATGTATGAGTCTTCATACTGCTGCTGGTTTGGAAGGATTTTCCACATGAAATGCACTTATGAGGGCGCTCTCCAGTGTGAACCATTGTATGTTGCTTCATCATATTAATGGTTTTGAAGGATTTTCCACATATAATGCACTTATGAGGTCGTTCTTCTGTGTGAATCAATGTATGAGTCTTCATACTGCTGCTGGTTTGGAAGGATTTTCCACATATAATGCACTTATGACGTCGCTCTACTGTGTGAACTAATGTATGCATCTTCATCTCGCTGCTGGTTTTGAAGGATTTTCCACATATAGTGCACTTATGAGGTCGCTCTCCCGTGTGAACCATTGTATGAATCTTTATATGGCTGCTGGTTTGGAAGGATTTTCCACATATAATGCACAAGTAAGGTCGCTCTCCTGAGTGAACCAATGTATGAATCTTCATGTTGCTGCTGGTTTTAAAGGATTTTCCACATGTAGTGCAATTAAACGGAAACTTACCAGAATGTGTCAATAAATGGTCCTTTATTTGACTTAGTCGAAAAAATGTTTCCTCACATGACAAACATTTAAAGGAACGCTCGCCTGTGTGTAAACACATATGACACTTCATATTTGATAGAGTTGAAAACAATTTTCTACATATTGGACACTTAGGGAGAGACTTTCTAGTGCTCTTTAACATTTTTTAGTTTTTAATCTTTGACTCTTCTAACTTATCAGACAATCTTGAAACTAATTGAAATTAGTCAGTTGGCTTTGTATATTTATTTAAAAATGTCTATTTTTGTGGGAATGTTTAACTGTTATATAAAGGTATCAAATAAATTTGATGAACTATTGCCCAAGTACTGTATTAAATATCATACAACCTAGCCTACTTGAGACATTTTGCTTTTTTACTTAACTTTGAAGTACTATTTTAAACACACATATAAAAGAAAAATTGGCTTCTTCTTTATGTTTCATGTTGTTTTTAAATAATATTGCATCATCTATATGAACGTAATGTATAGTATAAATTCAAATTTACATAGTAAATTACTTACTTTAATTAGCACTTTTAGTGTAAAAACTAAATCTTTTTATCTGCTGTTTAAAGTATTACATCAGATTATGTAAATTATATTTCTTGCGATGGTATTGAAGTTCCTTTGTCTCTTCAAATTGTCTATTCTGAAAAAGACCATAATTTATTAAATATATACAGTTAGTTGTATAGTATTTAGGTGATTTTCTTGTTGAAATTTAGAATCATAAAAGCAATTGTAATGTATGTAATCTATATACGCAAGCAGTTTTCTTTTCACAGTCATAACTCGATAACGGCTTGACGGATTATAACGTTTGAGGTGTCAAATTAAAGGTATTTTCACGTAGATGTGCAAATACGTCTTGGAAAATTAAGAAAGGGCATCACTTAAGTACAGTCAAGGGTTAAAGTTTGGGAATGGCAGTGTTATCTGTTGACATTAGATCAAACAGTCAAACTCAATTCTCTTTGTTTACAACTAAACATATGAACGTAGTTTGATATAGTTAAGCCAAAAAGTAAAACAGCTTACGAAAACAAATTGCATTTACACGTATACCAGTAACCTAAAAACATATTGTACTTCAATAATATTAATTAACCAGAAATGAATGGCCTATCTTTAACTAAACTGGATGTGAAATCAATTTAATGAAGTATATACAGTGTTAGTATTTTGCTTTAATACACGCACGAACATCACTCACTATTCATTAATCACTAAACATCAACACCAAACCAAAATAGCATTTTGAGGTGAGCTCAGTTGTTTTCTAATTTCTAGTTTTAGAAATTAGATGGTTTGAGTTATGACAAACAGGTGTGCCAACATCAGTTCTACCCATCATAATGGTAGCTTGTCGTACAGAATATCCAGATTGTGATGGCTGCCCTGATTTAGGAGTGCGCACACAACTTTAGACTCTGCCCCAAAGCGCCCATACTAAAGCATTGGAATGACGTCATGGCACCCTCAGAGCTGTTTGGTTGTTCTGCCATAAGACTACATGTATTGGGATTGGGACGGTCTGGCCGCCGTCCGCGCTGTCCTTACTAAGCAAGCGACGATCAAAATTTAGTCTTTACTGAATTGAATTATCCAATTATTTGGTATATTTATGTTGTATATAGTTTGAAGTGATCGTTAAAGTAATTTTAATTAAATTTAACTGAATAAAATTAATATTAAAATGTAATTTATTTATGTATTGTTGGAAGGGCAGCGTCCGAGAGTCCTTATGGGCTAGCCGCCACTGCCTGTACTGTATGCAATATTTCAATTTGTATGTATCTGTAGCCTAACTTAACTATTTGAAGTGGTCTATAACTGTATTACTGTTCAATCGACCAAATAAAGAATCTTGTATCTTGTAATCTTATAATATTGCCATTTTAGGAAAAATATTTTTTTTTGCAGCAAAGCCTCGGTAACACAATTTATGATCACTGTTGGGGTTCAACTGAAAATATCATCTAAATAGTCCGTGACTAACTAGTGCTGCTACCTTGTTTGTAACGCATGGAACAACGTTTGCTGGAGTTTTCGACCACTGGACGACCTCTAGTAAAAATCATTAGGTGAATTGCTTACGGTTAGGAAGAGGAGTTATCAATAGATAGGTAGATTAAAGATCAAGTACAGTACATACTTAAATGAAGTCAAACACTTACAGCAGTTAATATCTTTTAATTTTCTATAGTCGTATACAAATTAACAATCAAACAAAAAATAAATACAACAGTTTGTTTATGTTGTATATGAGACATGTAATTAATATTGTAGGTTTATCCTAATTCAATATTTCATGTGGATTCAATACATTAATCAATCTTTCATTTTCATTAAAAATACAATACAGTAAAAATATTTGATAAATCTACACTACATAGGCTACATTTTTTAATTTACATTACCATTAACATTAACATTTTTACATTAACATTTTTTTGCAGTCGATAGTAGAGGGAATTCTCTTAACTCTTGTTTGGAAAAGGGACCTAATTTAATAGAACTAATTCCAGCTCTTCTAATGAAGTTTAGAAAACACCCAATAGGTGTTATTTCAGATATTAAGAAAGCTTTCTTGCAAGTAAGTTTAACAGAAAGTGACTGAGACGCTTCAAGATTTTTGTGGTGGGAGCGACTTATTGGAGTGGTAAAGGAAATTTTACGACAAAACTTGGGAAATTCTTTAGTCACACAGAAAGAACTCTCAACAATTTTGTGTGATTGTGAAGCAACTGTAAATTCAAGACCTTTGACTTATCTTTCGAATGATGATGACTGTTTACAACCATTAAGTCCAGCCTTATTCTTACAACCAACATCAACAGCTGAATTACCCGATTTGAATGAAATTGAGTGTCTAAGTTTGAATAAAAGAGTGCGTTATATAAACAAAATAAGAAGATCACTAAGAGACAGGTTTAAGAAAGAGTATTTGGCTACACTCGTTCACAATGGAAAAAACAAGAAAAGTAGAGAACCCATTATTGGAGAAGTTGTATTGATAGGAGATGATAACACAAAACGAATAAGATGGCCTTTGGGGTTGGTACAGGATGTATATCCAGGAAGAGATGAATTCTCCAGAGTCGCAAGACTAAAAACTGAAAATGGTATTTTGACAAGACCACTACAAATACTTTTCCCATTAGAAATCACAGCTTGTGAAAAAGAGTGTATGAAAGAAAATAAAACACTTGAAGAAGAAGAAGGTATAGGCCTAGTTGAAAACGAAGTCTTTGATTTGGCTAAGAAGAAAACCAGATGTGGAAGAGAAGTAAAAGTGCCCCAGCGATTTTACTGATTTAAAATTGCACATGATTGGTTAGCAATTTGAAATGGGGGGAGGATGTTGTGAACTTTATTGTATATCTTTTCACTTCATTGATTTTCCTTTTGAACTGGCTGTTATATCTTTTCTAAACTAACTGTGTTTTGTTTTATCACATGTTAAATATTTTGTATTGAAGTAATTTAATTGTTTGAAGGTTCAGTTTTAGACTTTGGTATTAATAAAGAAGCTTACTAATCTGTTTGTGAAATAATTATTTTATCATTTATGGTAATTATTTCAAGATTCAAAACAGAGTCAATAAACTCGAAACGGTAATTAAATAACGAACACGTTAGAGCCCTAGACTATCTCATTGTATGCTAAGCTATCTGGAAAAATTAAGGTGTGACCTAATTTCAGGTGAGACAACTATTACGTATTTTAAAATCTAATTTTGTCTCTCAACCCGAAATTTTGTCATAGTGCTTAAACACTTTTAGGTCATAGGTGAGACGTTTGGTTCGTTGTTTAACAATAGCTTGGTTTATTTACAATAAGATCCACCACACACACTACCATTGACAATTGATACAAATCATGATTAGGATTCAATGGATGTGATGTGTATTAGGTTCCTAGGAAGGTTATTTCGCATTTCCGGAATACTCTCTAGCCCAAGTACGAGATATATAGTCACGAGATATGTGCATGTGTGAATTTTTGTGACGTGTTTTCCTTATGGAACCCCCAAAATCTGATGGATCTTTAAGGGCGCCTTAAACCAGAAAGTGGCAGAAACATTTTTAGTGGCTGTAATTTGCTGAGACGTTTTCCATTTTCTTAACACGAGAATGAAGAATTAACACAAAAGATTTGATTTAAAATGAATGAACACATCATAAATTAATGTATGAAACGTCATATAGCAACTATTTGTGATGGATCTTCCAGATGTGGTGCAATCATGAGGTCCCTCCAGTGTGAATTAATTATCCATAAGGCTCTTCATATGACTGCTGGTTTGGAAGGATTTTCCACTTATGAGGTCACTCTCTTGTCTGAACCAGTATATGCCTCATTACATCTTGCTTGTATTTGAATGATTTTCCACATTTAGGGCACTGATGAGGTCGCTCTCCCGTGTGAACCAATGTATGTCTCCTCAAAATGCTGCTGGTTTGGAAGGATTTCCCACATATAGTGCACTGATGAGGTCGCTCTCCCGTGTGAACCAATGTGTCTCTTCAAAATGCTGCTGGTTTGGAAGGATTTCCCACATGTAATGCACATATGAGGTCGCTCTCCTGTGTGATCCAATGTATGACTCTTCATACCTTTTTTGCTTTTAAAGGATTTCCCACATGTAGTGCACTGATGAGGTCGCTCTCCCGTGTGAACCAATGTATGACTCTTCAAAATGCTGCTGGTTTGGAAGGATTTCCCACATGTAATGCACATATGAGGTCGCTCTCCCGTGTGAACCAATGTATGTCTCTTCAAAATGCTGCTGGTTTGGAAGGATTTCCCACATGTAATGCACATATGAGGTCGCTCTCCTGTGTGATCCAATGTATGACTCTTCATACCTTTTTTGCTTTTAAAGGATTTCCCACATGTAGTGCACTGATGAGGTCGCTCTCCCGTGTGAACCAATGTATGTCTCTTCAAAATGCTGCTGGATTGGAAGGATTTCCCACATGTAGTGCACTGATGAGGTCGCTCTCCCGTGTGAACCAATGTATGACTCTTCATACCTTTTTTGCTTTTAAAGGATTTTCCACATATAGTGCACTGATTAGATCGATCTCTTGTGTGAACATATGTATGAGCCTTCATATCGCTGCTGGTTTTGAAGGATTTTTCACATGTAGGGCACTTATGAGGTCGCTCTCCCGTGTGAATCAATGTATGATTCTTCATGTCTTTCTTAGTTTTGAAAGATTTTCCACATGTAATGCACTTATGAGGTCGCTCTCGCGTGTGAACCAATGCATGTGTCTTTATATCTTGCTTGGATTTGAAGGATTTTCTACATATAGTGCACTTATAAGTTCGCTCTTCTGTGTGAACCAATAAATGAATCTTCATATAGCTGCTGGTTTTGAAAGATTTTCCACATGTAGTGCACTTATGAGGTCGCTCTCCTGTGTGAAGCAATGTATGAATCTTCATCTCGCTCCTGGTTTTGAAGGATTTTCCACATGTAATGCACTTGTAAGGAAACTTCCCAGAATGTGTAAACAGATGATTCTTTACCTGAGATTTTTTAATAAATGTTTTTTCACATGTCAAACATCTAAAGGGACGCTCACCTGTGTGTAAATATATATGACACTTCATTGTCGGTAGAGTTGAAAACATTTTTCTACATATTGGACACTTAAATGGAGGCTTTTTAGTGATATTTAACATTCTTTGTTTTATATTTCTGATTGCTAATATCAGGAAAACTAGTAACTAATTGGATTTATTCAATTGGCTTTGTTTGTCTATTTTTGTGTATTTTGTGTATTAAATATCATACCACATAGGTTAGTGGTGTTACTTATAGTGTTTACTTACTTTCATTTGTACTTTTAAGGTAGTGAAAACTTAATCTTATTAGCTGCTGTTTAAAGTATTATTTCAGATTACGTAAATTATCTTTCTTGTGACATGAATTGAAGTTCCTTTTCCTCTTCAAATCTATTTCCTATCCTGAAAAAGATCATAATTTATTAAATACTAGCAGTATTACCCGTGCTTTGCAACGGGAAGAGGACACGAAATAGAAAGATTTTGATCGTTACGACTGTTGTCTAAAATAGTTATTCATCCGCCAACGCTTCTAGAAACAAAATTCAACATTTATGGCCTTTATAGAAACTTTGGTGGCTTTTAAATCTGGTAAGTAGTGGAAGCCATCATTTTGGTTTTGACTAATTAATTATCCACCCTACCCGTTCTTAGCAACGGAAAGAGAACGCTAAAGAGAATAATTACTATTCCATAGATCTGCTGTATATAGATTAACTTTTAGTAATCCACTAAAAGTATTAACTTAAAGTATTAACTGGCTCTTTCGTATCCCAGGCATTATTTTTTGGGAAATAAACCATACAAATACAATGGATTTTTATAAACATTTTGGAAAAAAGAAAGTCAATAAGTTATTAATTATGCACCTAAAAAATAAAACTACTTATTCACACACTACGTGTCAACGATTATTTATTAAACTAGCAGAGTACCCGTCCTTCGCACAGGGTTGGCATATAAGTATAAAATGCTTATTGCAGTTATACTCATAAGCTTTGCGTTTGCAATGGGTTAGGACACATTTTGATAAAATATGCTTCTTTAAATTTATGGTGTACTATAGTATTACCATAGACAAAAAGAATTAAATATAGACCATCAGCTATGCTGCGGTTACCATATGTTCTGGCGCACACCACTGGTAGCGCTGGTAGGGCCAGATACGCAGATTCTTTGAAAGTTAATTCAGTGAGCCCTAGACTCACTAACTCAGCAACTAAAGTGCAAACTAAAAACCTGTCAGCTATAGTTTTCCACATTTTTATTGTTTGTGTCTAGTAACCTTTATGTTTTTATTCCTTTGTGTAAAGTATTTGCAGCTTAAATGTTCCTACTAAAAAAATCTAGTCAACCAAAAATGTCCATTCACTATATACCTATACTGTATGCAATATTTCAATTTGTATGTATCTGTAGCCTAACTTAACAATTTGACGTGGTCTATAACTGTATTACTGTTCAATCGACCAAATAAAGAATCTTGTATCTTGTAATCTTATAATATTGCCATTTTAGGAAAAATAATTTTTTTCGCAGCAAAGCCTCGGTAACACAATTTATGATCACTGTTGGGGTTTAACTGAAAATATCATCTAAATAGTCCGTGACTAACTAGTGCTGCTACCTTGTTTGTAACGCATGGAACAACATGCTGTAGCGCTATCTGTTCGCAATCGATGGCGTGAGCTTAAATACCGGTTTTTGACTCCTCAGTCTCCAAGCACAGATAGCCGAGAAGGCTAGGGCATGTGTCACTTGGCCAGTGGCATTCGTCTGCTTGGGTTCGATTACCGTCCTGTGGGGCAAATAAAGAGTGACCTGTGTTTGTAGCAATATATTACAACCACTGGGGCATAGTGAGGTGTTCATAATTCATGGTTTAGACATACACCTCGAATCATCGGATTGGGGGAATCTTTTAGCTAAGTGGTTGATGGTGTTTCCTATTAATATGCAGGTCATGGCCGTTTTGCTACTTTTTGTAAAGTACCTTCCTCTCTATATCCCTTAGAGGTTTTAGTAAATGCCGATATATAATTGCATAGCACGCAAAGGGTTAAATGTTTGTTCATATGTTACATCTTGTGCCAAATCCGCGGCCCTGCGGCTTGGAGGGCTTGGGGGGCGCAGTGACAAAAGTGATAAAACAAAATTGAAAAAATTAAGTTAGATGTACATAACGTAATTTGGAAAGTTATGTATAACTAACTGAATTTTTCATATTACGTTCTATGCATTTATTGAACAAATACATATTATTTGACACCAATAACTTTATATATTTGCAACGTTTTCCCAGATGAAATATTTTTTATAAAAATGAAGTAGCTAGATTTGCTTGTTTACTACTTTTAGTTTAGTAATAATAGCCTAATAATGGGCCACAGTGGAGTTGAAGGCCCTGTCCCAACTTAATTATCTTAATATAAATCAATATTGCAATGTCGCAGTTTCGCTCTGTAGGCCTTCACACGAATAGCCTACTAGCCTAGTTGCCATGTTTATTCTTATTTCGCCAGACTACCCTCCCCCCACTCACGTCTCTGACATCCTGACGATGACTCACGGTAGAGACAATGACCTTAAATATGCACGAGGTGACGTGTGGACTTAACATGAAAGACTGTCGGGGCCATGGTAGTGGTGCCAATATGGCAGGTTTCCTACAACAAAGGACACATCGTTGTTAAAAATACATCGTCTTGCAACAAAGGAACAAAGGAGTTCAAGCTCGTGTACAAGCAGATTTCCCTTTGGCTTTTTTTATGCCTTGTGGATGCCATAGTCTGATCCTGGTAATTGCTGATGGAGCGAAATCCTCGGTCAAATCTACATCTCTATTTGGAACACTCCAGCGTATATATACGATATTTGCAGGCTCTACAAAGCGTTGGTGTGTGATTAGTGAACATGTCAAGGATCTCACGCTAAAACAAGTATGTGAAACACGATGGGAAGCCCGAATATCTTCGGTGCAAGCTGTTCGCTATCAGTACGTCGAAGTGCGGGATGCTTTGATAAAACGGACGACCCTAAGACAGCGAGTGAGGCTCATTCCTTACTCAACCAGATGGAAGACTTTTCTTTCTTATTATGCTTAATACTATGGCATGATTTGCTGTTTGAAATCAATATCATAAGTAAAAGTCTTCAAGGGAAAGCCAAAGGCGTCAGTGATGCTATGAGTAAGTTAAATAAATTGCTTGGACTTCTTAGACAAATTTAGAGAAAATGGATACACTAATGCACTTCCGTAAAGGAAATTTCAAAAGAGCTAGGAATACAACCAATCAGAAATCAGAAATCCGTTATTGTCATTAAGCAAAACAATCTTGCAATAGACATAGTCACATATTATGGTAAAATAGGGTTACACAGTAACCCAGTCAGACTAGATTAATAAGCTAATATCACAGACAATAACAGGTAAAAATTTAAAAGTTTAAAAGTAAAAAGAAGGCTGTAGGCTGGGTGGAAAATATACTAGATAAACTATTAAACAACTTCCCTGAAACCAAAATTCGCAAGAAGAAACGTCTCTTTTTGTATGAAAGTGCAAGCGACGAAGTGCAAACATCTGCAGAAGATACATTCAAGAGGGAGGTATTTTATTCATTGGTGGATACAGTAGCAACATCAGTTAAAGGTAGGTCCACTGCACTTTATAATCATAACTCGCAGTGGGGATTTTTTTGTATAACTTGGCTAATCTTCCACCAAAAGATGACTTGAAACAGAGTTGTTTAAAACTAGAAACTCTCTTAAGAAATACTAACGGAATATCAGATATCAACGGCAATGAACTTTTTTGTGAACTGCAACATGTGATCTCCATCTTGGATATCAATGAACCCCAACTTCGGAAAGTTCAACTAATCGACGTGTTGCGAGCAATCAAGAAAACAGACAGCAAAGATGTATTTATAAATCTCTGGATTTCACTAAGAGTTTTGTTAACTACACCAGTGACAGTTTCAAGTGCTGAGCGTACATTCAGTAAGCTAAAACTTATAAAGACATATTTACGATCATCCATGTCACAGGAGAGACTGAACTCTCTTGCCATCATGACAATTGAAAACGATGAAGCTAGGAAAATAGACTTCAAAGATATTCTCAAGACATTTGCTCGTGCAAAATCCAGGCGAATGCCATTAAATGTTTAGGGGAAAGGGTCTTATTTCTAAATGTAATAAAGTGTTTTTATTATTTTATTCTGTCATTCCGTATATTCTATTCAGAGTAGGTTTGGTTTGAGGTTTTGCCTACTATTGCCAGGGCCAATTTACCGAATAGGCACGGTAGGCACGTGCCTAGGGCACGAGGCAATTGGCTTTTTTCGTGGGGCGCCAAAAAATTGGTTGTTATATTTGCATGCGATGGTGGTAAACTTCTGATAATCTCTCCCGGCACATGACATCGTTATGGTCTCCCACAATCGCGGCAAAATTCTGACTGTTTCCGGCTGTTGTGTGGACATAATTAGGCATATCGTCATCCATGATCGCAGCAATATATGAACATATCCCGCGGTCGTGAGGAGATTATAATCGATCGTGGTAAAATTCTATTCATCCTCACGGCCGGGTAGACATCATTATATCGTCTCCCGTGGTCGTGTGAAAATAGTAATTATCTCCCACGATTGCGGCAAAATCGTAATCATCTCCCACGGTCGTGTGGAGATCATCATCGTCTTTCACGAATGAGGCAAAATTCTAATCCTTTCACGCGGTCGTGTGGAGATTATCATCGTATTGCGTGATCATGGTAAAATTCTGATCATCCCTCGTGGCCGGGTAGATATCATTATTTTATCTCCCATGGTCCTTTAAACATCACAACCGTATTCCGCGATTGCGGCGAAATGTTCATCATATCCCACAGTAGTGTGGAGATCATCGTCTTCTGCGATCGTGGCAAAATTCTGATCATCCCTTGCGGCCAAGGGTAGACATACCATCGTCTCCCGTGGTCACAGAAACGTCACTGTTGTCGTCATGCGCGATCGCGGTAAAATTAAATATCCAGGTAGAAACACAAAAGGCATGCATATTTCCCGGTTAAAATCTCACACACAATTCCCAGATTTCCCGGTCAGTTGACACTCTGTATATATATATATTGCTAAGGGGCGCTACTATTAGTTGTGCCTAGGGCGATGACAGGGTCAAAAACGGGCCTGACTATTGCATTAATTTTTATGTGCACTGTATTAATTAATATGTATAGTACTTATTCAATCCGTTCAAGTGTCTGTTGTTGCGCATTGAAACAGTAACGCAACCCGCCACGCAACTTTGTATAACGATCATCACTCAATGTGTGTTTGGGGAGGGGGCGCCTGACAACATCTCGCCTCGGGTGCCAATAAACCACGCGACGACCCTGATCAGCAACAAAGGATTACTATATGCAGGTATTGTAAACCATTTTAAGGATGTGTATTAGGTTCCTAGGAAGGTTATTTCACATTTCCACGATATTCTGCAGCCCAAATGTCACGAGATATGTGCATGTGTGAATTTTTTGTGATGTGTTTACCTCTAGGAACCCCGAACTGTGATGGATCTTTAAGGACATCATTAACCAAGAAGTAGCAGAAACATTTTAGTGGCCATGAAATACTTAGAAATTTTTCATTTTCTTAATGGAAATAGCTAGTAACTTAAAGCTGGTAACTAATTGGAATTATTAAGTTGGCTTTGTATGTCTATTTAAATATCTCGTTTTTTGTAGAATTTGTTAAACTTTGAACAGTTATATGTGTGTATCAATCAAAATTTTATCAACTCTTGCTCAAATGTTGTGTATAAATTATCATACGACATAGCTTACTCGAGGCATTTTTCTTTTTTGTCTTCACTTTATGTTCCATCATGTTAAATTTTATCATACCTAGGCTACTTAAGAAATCGTTGCTTCTATATTCTATGTTATTTTAAAATAATATTGTGGAATCAGCCATATAATAGTTATATGTATATAATTTTATTTTAAGTTTAACATAGTGAATTACTTACTTTCAATATGTAGTACTTTTAGTATGATAAAAACTTTATATTTTCAGCTGCCCTTTAAAGTATTTAAATAGCTGATTATGTCAATTATCTTTCTTGCGCAATAATATATAAGTTCCTTTTCCTCTTCAAATCAATTGCCTATTCTGAAAAAGACCATTTTAATTAAATATATACATAGATTGTAAACATTTAGGAGGATTGTAGATTCTTAGGAGAGAGCTTAGCCATTCTCAGCACAGAGGCCAATCAAACCACCCGCGAGTTTGTCATTAAAAAAACTTGGGACATCGTCGTGCCAATGAGGTGGAGCCCAGTCCTGGTTCAACACAGTCTTTCATGTCACCTTCAGGTTGGGGAAACAGCTATTGCTCCAACACGTGCAGAATTCCAACATCAGTTACACTTCGACACCGCACAAAAGAATTCAGTTTCACCGAACCTGATTCTAATTTTGGAATCACAAAAAATGTTTGCAAAATCTTCATAATCTGCAACAAGCAGTCAAAGCCCATTCTTGTTACTACAAATCATAAGAATGCAGCGTGGGGATGATCATGATATCCATACGATCAAAAGATATGGTCATTGTGTTACTGCACACTCGGGATATGATCACAATGTCACATTGTTGGACACATTAGTGCTGTGTGACATTTTATTCTTAAATTGCCCACTATTTTCGAAATTTTGTTGGACTGATCACCCAACAAAAAAATTGAACATACTGTTGTGCACGCCTAAATTAGTTGAATTTTTCAAATTAAGGACATTGATTGATGTCATGAGTTTTGCTTCCAAATAGTTGAGTGGCAAGGAAATTCCTATAAAACTAGTATAAGTTACTGTCCAGTACCATGACAATTCCTGACACTTGACCACTTTCACTTCAATGCCTCCTTATCTCTTGGCCGACGGTATCTCTTCACTGATGTTATCTACATGGTTGTGGCATCATATTGGAAAAAAACCTTGGAAATGATTTGTGACTGTCTAGACTAAGTCTCTGAAGAGTGAGAATCAACTACTTTCAGCTTGGTAAATTTTGTTATTAGTGCTGACCCTCCGACATCATCGTTGGATTTAATGCTGACTTACAATTGAGGGTTTATGCCGGATCCCGTTGTGGCTAGTGCCTGCTAACGTATCTCTGGAGTAGCTTCTCGACCTGTGAGCCCTGGTTGTGAAACCTTGTGATACCCTGTCACTTCGTAATACTCGTGGGGTTCGGTTTGAGTCGGTCCAAACCAGATATTGTAACCTTACTGGACATTGCGGTGAGTTATCTGCTTTAAACAATTTATAGGCTAATTACCATTTGGGATTCTCTACTCTGAACTTGAACACTTTCCCTTTAAGAGTGAATGTGAGTGACCAGCCCTACTTATAGACTCTACTGGACTTCAGTGCCAACAAAGGAGATAATTATTTAAGTATTAAGAATTCTTGATTTTCATTCAATTTTACAGCAAGGCCCTTGTGTAATATATTGTTTAATTAGCTGTAAATCATGTGGCATTTTCTTGTAGCTTAATACAAAATTAAATTAAATGCAAACGATCGTAGATTATTAAGTTTTTGTGACAGCGGAAAAATATTTTCACCGTTGTTTTCAGGTAGCCTATAGACTCTAGACTCTGATTTTAATATAAATTACTACGGTTCCCTTGTCACCTTAATCACCATAATTACTGTAGGGCTACCTAGACAGGTTGTAGCTCTCGGTATCAGTTCAAATAGGCCTACTGTAGTTTTTAAAGCGTCCGTCGGTCGCCCCTAATCTATTAGATCCCGCAACATGAAAAATTCCTGCCATTTTCGTTTTCTCACCCCAAAACTGGTCTTGGCCAGAGTACTGTTTCATCCCCTCCCCCCACACACCTAGCATCGCTGTTAAGCCGCGTTTACACCGGAGTTAATAGCAAGTGTTAAAAAATAAATGTTATTTACTTGGTTTTTAACAGAAAATTCCTTGTTATTAACAAGATTTATGTTATCCATCAAGAGTCAGTAAAGATCAAAGGAAATGTGTTATGTTTTAGCGAATTTCCCTATAGGGAAGTAGCTATTACCGTAGGTGGCACGTTAAGACCTAGACCCGGGACCGATTTACTTTTTCATTTTGATGTCCCCAGAGGCCAAAAACACCATTCGTTCAAATTTTTATATATGTATATATATATATATATATCTTACTAATATTATAAATGTGAAAGTTTGTGTGTTTGTTTGTTTGTTTGTTTGAAGTTCGATCACGCATTAACTACTGGACGGATTGGGCTGAAATTTGGCATGATGATAGCTTACATTCCCGATTAACATATAGGCATATTCTTATCTCAAAAACCTTTTCGGGCTCCGCCCCAGTGGCTCTGTAGTTCCCCATGTTAACCTTATGAGTATTCATATTTAAAGGGAATTAAAGAATTTAGTCAGCTGTTTCAACTAATAAAGTTGGTTCTATGATATGGAAAAGCATTAAAAAGTTATAAGATTTACCAACAGGGTGCAGCACTATAATTTTTCAATTATGAAAACAGCTAATTTGAACTAAGCAGCAACAAAAAACTGTGATTCGCAATGAGAACTGTCAAAGTAGGATTGTTTACAGTTAGGTATGTTTATGTTTTTATTTCGCGAATAATTTGTGATATTTTGCGAATTGTTGATAATTTATTTTTTTCTATTGTTTAGGTAGATGTGTAATACTATAGAATACTGTAATATTTAAAAAAGCAAATTTTATCAAACTGTGTCCTTCCTTATTGCAAACGCAAAGCATGAGTATAACTGCAATAAGCATTTTATGCTTATATTCCAACCCCGTACGAAGGACGGGTACTCTGCTAGTAGACTTATATATATATATAGCCTATATATATAGGGGAGAGTGGTACATACTGGGACGAAAAAATTAAAACATGTTTTTCTTCAATATTAGTTGACTTAGAAGAACAATCTTTACACAAAAATAAAGCACTTTTAAAACTCTTTTAATCATATTTTTTTCAAAATTATTAACTTATATTTAAAAGGCCAAAAACCGTTTGTCCCGCTTTATACCACTTGTCCCAACATGTACCGACCCTGGTACAAGGTGGGACAGCAATATGGTACAAAGTGGGACAGCATATGGTACAAAGTGGGACAATAAATGGTACAAAGTGGGACATCCTGTTATGCATAGGAGGTATTCTTAAATAAGACAGTTTCAGACAAATTACAAAATTTATTGATATTATGTGACTTGTAAAAACTTATAGTAAATAGTTAGTAATTAAACTAGGCTATAAGGCTCGAAATTGCTCCATCTTCTGCATGCTCCAAAAACTTCTTGCGGCAAATCTTCGGCATTATGAACCTGAAAAAATAATTTTTTTTGTAAAATTCCACTATAATGTTCTTTAATGAATAACAATGATATGAATGAATGTGTCTATATTTTAAGAGTTAAATGTAGGTCTACTTTGGCATAAAACCGACCCCGCTAAAACTCTATTTATGTTATAAGTAGGTAAAAAAGTAGAAAGGAATTATTTAATTGAAAATATAAGTACTAAACAGTTTAAAAATACCTAGGCCTAACACAAAATTATGACAATGGTTGTGTTTCTGGGTAAACCGCGTTAGGGTTTACCATGAGAAGTAAGTTAAGGGTTTTTTTTTATTTAACAAACCCTAGGTCCTATTCTTGGTAACCTACCAAGCAGATGAGGCATGTCATATATTTATATGGGTATGCTTGTATTTATAGCCTATTATGAATTGCTATAATAGTATAATAAATCAATTATCATTGCTTGTCCCACTATGTACCGATTTCCCACTTTGTACCACCTTATTTAACATTGTCCCACTATATACCACAAATAACTGTCCCACCTTGTACCACATGTAGGGTTATATTGTTTTTAAGTTTTACTCCAAACAGTGCAGCTCAGACATCCCTGACCTCCTTCTATTGAACAAAGAAGGTTTTTTAATGTTAGGCATATCAAATTTAACCTGTTTATCAAACTAATTTCATAAGAAAATGATGATTGCTTACCTCAAAAATGTAACTTTTGAGACTATAGTTGTAGCAGACTGTCATTCAATACTTTCCAACATGACTGAAACTTCAGAACTAACTTAAAACACACTGTTGGCCATGAATTAACACTTTTGGATGGAAACTGGCCACATGGCTTTGAAGAAAAAAAAGTTATATGGAATGTCCCACTATATACCGTGTCCCACCTTGTACCACTCTCCCCTATATATACGTCCGTGAACGCGATAACTTGAGTAATTTTTGTCCGATTTTGATGAAATTTGGTTTAAAGGTGTAAAGCGGGATAAACTTGAATGAGTTCGCGAACCAGCACGATCGGACCATGGGAACGGGGCTTTACGGGGGGTTTTATGGGGTAAAAATTGGTTTTTCTCACTTTTGACCCTCAAAACACAAAATTTCCCGATTTCTCTTTAGACCTTTTTAAAGAGCTTAAAAAACAAATAATTTAGTATATAAAAGTATTTTTGTTCGATTATTAGTAACGGAGAAAATTAAAAAAAATTGTAAATTTAAAATTCCCATGTGATTCTTATGGAGGATATTGTCAAATGTTGTAGTTTGCTTGTTTATGGATATATTTTGATCAAACTTGGCAAATTTATTTATTTTGTACTAAGCTATCAATATTTTACTCAAAAACACACTTTATTAGTTTCCTTGTAGCAGCAAACCTAGGTACTCGTTAAACCTAATGTTATTAAAATATATTTAACTGAAAATCAATTCAGACAAATGGAAATTCGCTTAGTCGGCAGGTTTGCTGCGGCGGGGGTATTTAACAAATGTTAGGTAGTAACCAAAGTTAATGGTCTCTTTTAGTGTTAACAGGTCCCTCTCTTCCCCGCAACCCCCACGCTCAGCATCGTGCTACACAGAGCGTGCTAGTCGCCCCTCAGTTTCAACTGCGGAGGAAATTTTGTATGCTTCCATCGCACCTAAGCTCGCCTGAAAGAGGGTCACTATCGTCGTCTTGCATATCACTTAACATATCACTCCCACTGTACAAAGTCCTTGCTCTGAGTGACTGTGTCACCCAGTATCTCCTAGGTCTCCTTTGGGCAGCAGTAGCCAAAACAACGCACGCAGCTG